ACTGGCTTGGGGCGTCTTTGCTTATAACTTAACATGACACCCACAAGGCAAAGTCCCCCAAAAGGAGTTTCCTCTACAAGCGGGGGGGGGGGTTTGGATTCATTCCGTCAATGTGTGGAGTATGTCCGTTGAGATTGCCTCCCCCCCTGTTGCCTCCATTGGAGCAATGGGCATCTCGAAGGCTTCAGGGGCCTGGTCCCTTCCCTTCCCTTCCAGAGTTGTTCGGCGCAACCGCGGTCCAATTTGATGTCCTCTTTTGGAACTCGCGAGATTCACGGGAAGGAACAACCATGAAGCAGAGTAACTGGGGTTGGCTAACAAATGGGCGGCTCTTTAAATGGGCGGCTCGTCTTCTTTTGGGGGTGCCCCTCAACTTTTGGCGACCTTACCCGACGCCTGACACGGGTGGTTCACATCCATCAAACCCCGCCCCGTTTGCGGGTCCGCCCGAGTCGGAAGTTTGAGGTGGCTGAGCGAGGTGTCCCCTGACAGCAGCAGCCGGAAGGCGAAGTGGCGAACCAGCGAACTGGCGCTCGGGTGTAGGACAAAAATCAGCTGGGTGCCATTTGCGAAAGGAGCTTTGGCCTTTACCCTCCAATCATAGAAGAAAGTGTTTGGTTCCCCAAGCGGAAAGTAGTCTTCCAACACCCTCCTATCATCAGCTTCTATGATTGGAGGGGGGTAACTCTGAGTTTGGAACCTCTAACACTTTATGAGAGAACACAGTTTTGCTTGACACCGCGGCTCATTTTTTCAGAGGCTGCAAAGCACAGCCAGGTCTAGCCCGCGTGACTGGGCTCACGGCCTCAAATGCCGGCCCTGTTTTTGTGTCCGGAGGACACACATGTGCCATGATCAAAAGACACTTTTTTTTTTGGTTTAAACGTTGGGATGGTCCAGGTGAGGATCCTCAACCATTCTGCGGATTGAGGGAGTTCTGATTGAATCGGTCAGAGAGTTCCGTAGGTTTTGACCACGGGCGTACGGGGATCAGACCTTCCAACCTCAGGGCTTCCAACCGCAGCTCGCTCGGTGCCCGAATCGAAGCCCAGTGGAATTCTTAGATTGCGAGAGCCAATCAGCGGAACACTAAAATACGGGGGGCTTTGGGGGGGGGGATTTGGGGGGGATTTGGGGTCACAAGAATACGGGCCGAAGATTTGGGGGGGGGGGGGGGGATTTGGGGTCAATTGGCTTGAGACCAAAATTAGTCATGACCACGAGAAAATGATGTTGCCTCTTTGAGCCGGGGTGCCAGATGTATCGGAATGTGTCCATATGTATATATATATATATTTAAATACCACATAGGCGGTCACATAGGTGCGTATAAGTATATATGTATTACCATTCTCTAAACATGTATGTACATGATTGAGGGTGTTGGAAAGCATGGCCCCTTCTAATCCCGGCTTTTCTGCCGGGTTTTGAAGCGTGGATGCCAAAAACGGCCCCGATTTATTTTGGCCACCCCCTTCAAACAGCCCATACAATGGGGCCTATGGGTGCAATCTATGGCTTGTCAACATTTCAGGTTTTGAAATTGCTCCCCTGCAAATAAAGATTATATTTGCTGGGCTCCACATTCATCTGCAGTATTCCCTCGCAAGCCTTGGATTTTAAAGACAAGGGACACCCACATCACCCAGCTAACCCTCAGTTGGTGGGTTGGATTAGTCGTTTGTGGATTTGAGCTCCTGATTCTTGTGGGTACATGGGAATCCACCCTGGAACACCTCTAAACCACCGGCCCTTTTCGAAGCTGATCTACCATACCCGAAAGGGCCAATGTAGAAGGTGGTTCCACCACTTGGCTTCACTCGCTACGAAGACGTACACCTTACGTGCTGGCAGAAGCGGTCAACTCTGGTGAGACGGGTTTGTTCGGTTGGGTCCTGACCCCCCCCAAAACAAAAAAGAGAGATACTGTAAGACGACAAATAAACAAGCACCACCTTGGTAGAACCAAAAGTCACAGGGTGAACACCCATCAGTTCACCCATCGAAACCACGTCGCCCAAGGGTTTGGCCCATTGGTTGGTGCCCTCATATGATTTTGGGTTGGCGCAGCTAATTCCAAGATGCCGTTTGGACAAACACAATTTGGCTATGAATTTTAATGCGGAGCCACCTCAAAAGTGGTTGGTGAACATGAACCCCCACCTAAATGGTGTCCACCAAAGGGTCCCTAGTTGAAATATCTCTTTCTGGATCTCCAATGATGTCCACCAACAATTCCCTACTTAAATACCTCTTTCTGGATTTCCAATGATGTCCACCAAAGGGTCCCCTAGTTGAAATTCCTAGCATATCTGGATTTCCAATTGATGTCCACCAGTTTGGGTCCCTGTTGAAATTCCTAGCATCTCTGGATTTTTCATGATGTCCACCAAAGGGTTCCCTATTTGAAATTTCTAGCATCTCTGGATTTCCAATGATGTCCACCAAAGGGTCCCCTAGTTGAAATTCCTAGCATGTCTGGATTTCCAATTGATGTCCACCAGTTTGGGTCCCGGTTGAAATTCCTAGCATCTCTGGATATTTACTGATGTCCACCAAAGGGTTCCCTAGTTGAAATTTCTAGCATCTCTGGATTTCCAATGATGTCCGCCAAAGGTTCCCCTTTTTGAAATTCCTAGCATCTCTGGATTTCCAATGATGTCCACCAGTTTGGGTCCCTAATTGAAATTTCTAGCATTTCTGGATTTCCAATTGATGTCCACCAAAGGGTCCCTAGTTGAAATTCCTAGCATCTCTGGATTTCCAATGATGTCCACCAAAGGGGTCTCTGGATTTCCAATTGATGTTCACCAAAGGGTCCCCTACTTGAAATTCCCAGCATCTCTGGATCTCCAATGATGTCCACCAAAGGGATGTCTGGATGTGCAATGATGTCCACCAAAGGGTCCCCTACTTGAAATTCCTAGCATCTCTGGATTTCCAATGATGTCCACCAGTTTCGGTCCCGAGTTGACATTTCCCTGCGATTTTTTTTGTGTTTTTTGGCACCCGCCGAAGGGACCCCGTCGATCCTCACACGACCAATTTCACCCCAAACGGTGGTTGATGTGGGGAATATCCATCCCCAACCACCAAATTTTCAGGTTGGAGAACCCGGCGATTTCTTTTCACCCCAAATGGTGGTTGATGTGGGGAATATCCCCCCAACTTCTGTGCTTAGAACCCTAGTTGAGTTTCCTTGCGATTTCTGCGGCTGGACCTCGTCGGTCCCATTTGTTTGTTTCGCCGTGCAGGGCGTCACCTCCGCCATGTCCGCAGTGGTGGTGGCCACAGCGGCGCTGAAAGGCCTTTCGCGCGGTGGGAGGGGAGTTTGGGGGGGGGGTGGACGTGGACGCGGCAGGGGGGGCGTCTCTTTTTAAGGTGGTTTTAAGGGGGAAACCTAAGTCTTGAGGTTTTTTCTTGGTTATTTTTGGGTGGTTTTGAGTGGTTTTGAGAAGATCCAGAAGGAGTTGGTCCCCGACGTTTAGGGAAACAGCTGATCAAACATGGAGCTGTTCGTTTTTTCTTCATAATATTGGAGGCCCAAAGGCTTCAGACGTTTGGCCAGAATCGCAGGTCAGAAGAACCGCCCCGGCTGGTGAACCAGTGCTACCACTGCCACTACCACTGCCACTACCACTACCGCTACTGCTACTGCTGCTGCTGCTGCTGTTGCTGCTGCTGGGAGCCACTGGTTTATGGGTGAAGTTACCTTACCTGGTTGGGAAGCACAGTGATGTTGGAGGTCAACTTGTGAAACCGTTCAAGCAAACCAGAAGGGATTGGCTGTAACCTGTCCGCACACGCACACTTGTTCCGGTGCATACTGCTCCATTATTTTTCATGACCAAAGTGACCCCCCAAGTGGTACGCCGGCCAAAGCGAAACAGCCCAATTGTCTGACTTTGAAGTCAGACCCTCCTTTTTGGCAGCCACGCTGGTGATTCTTGTCAGGGAGCCTTCAAAACAAACCGTCCTTAGAGGGCTCTCCTTGGGGTGGGGGGTTGAAACCCCTGCTTTGGGGTTTGTTCCGTTGATATTGCAGTTTTAACACTGTGCAGATGCGAGCCGTTGCGGCGTGCGAGCGAATGGCAGGTGCGGATGCTGGTCTGGAAGAAGTCAAGGGCTTTGCCCGTGGCTCAATGCGACAGCCAGGGGGACGGGTGTTGCCCGTAGAGTGTGTATGTGTGTGTGTGTGTGTGTGTCAAAGCCTTGGACGAGAAAGTAACATGTGACGCGCCCAAGGTTTCGACGCGCGAACCGCATCCAGGTGGTTTTGCTCTTTGTTTCTCTTTCTCAACCACCCGCCAAACCCAATTGTGGGAACGGACCATTTCCGTTGATGGCACCGTTGATGGCTTGTTTGCCTTAAAGGAACCGATGGGAAACCGCATTGGCGCAGGCACCCGAAATGTCCGCGTTCCGCTCATCATTTTGTATTGGTTTTCACAAAGCAGAACAGTTTCTGGCCCCCATCCAATCCAATTTGGGAGCCCCGGACCCCGGGACCCCCTTCTTGCCCGGAAAAGGGAGGGACTCCTTTTTGACGCTTTTACGTCAGGTTCCATGCTTGCTGATGATAGCCTCTCGCGTGGCGGGATTCCTTTCTTAGGAGAAGCCCCTGATTTACATGCGGAAGGGGGGTAGGTTGTATGAGTCAGGGGTTCCTCTTCCAAAGGAAGTCTTCTGAAAGACACAGCTGGGAGGGGGGGGTTGAGTACTTGGGAGTTGCCAGGCTTCAATTCAACGGAGGGATCATTGTTGCATCCCTTATAGAAGCGGGAGGGTGACTAAGGGGTATAAGGGGGGAGGGAGATTAAGTGGTAGGGGGGGGAGGGTTCCATTCGGACCATTTGCAGCAGGGGATGTGTGATTGATCAGGGCTGAGGGGATTTCCATTTCCGGCCGCCGGCTCTCAGGTTTTGAGATAGAAACCTCTCAGGCGCCCCAAGGGCTGAGTCACGGAGGGTTTCTGGACGGCACCGTCCAGCCGGCGGGCCATGGCTGGAGAAGCCGTTCGCCCAAGAGGCGACGAGAGTCGGACACGGCGCGTTTTTTTTTTTTTGCGCGCGCGTTCGGGTGGAGCGAGCAGATTGCAGGAGGATTCGGTAGGTGGGATTTAAGTCTCCTTTGGCCTTTGGCGACTTTGGGAGTCGTGCAACAATTGGTCGCGAACTTTTTCTGAAGACAAAGTGGGACTACCACAATTGCCAGAAAGGTGCCATCAAACCCTTCGGTCAGAGACCCTTCTAATTTCTGAGACGGTTTTTAAGTTTCCGGGCCAATAAACAACTTTCATAGACATATATTTTAGTAATTTCAAAGTTTGTAAGTCCTAAAGCTCTAAGAATACCAATTTCTTTAGTTTGCTCCCTGTTTTGTTTTGAGAAGGTGTCGCACCCCGTGGGCCCATTTTTGAGAAGCCTGTCCCAATTTTCGGAAGGCGGTTTCCTTCCGTCGTTTGGTGTTGAGCCCCTGCATTCTTGGGCTTCTTTCCGTTCATGGTCAAAATACCGACCCATCCGCAAAAGCAAGAAAAAGAAGAAAAGCAGCAGAAAAGATGTCATGATGTCATAAACAAAGTTTGGTTTCCCTGAAAAGAACCGGTATGAACGTAGATGGCGCATTTTACCTTTATATAAAGGGGCTCTTGGGTCAACCCTTGCCCTTAAACTCATTGAAAGAAAAGGATGAGCCGCAATCAAAACCTGCGTAGATGAAGGTTAGTAAGGGACAATGCCAACCATAAATCTGTGCGGAAAAAAAAGCCCGCCTTCTTATTTTTTTTAACACATGTTTCTGGGTATACCATGTTAATACCGGGTTTGATTATGACAGATGAACACACCTTCGGTTTACGGGCTTTCACATTGACCAGGGGCAAGGGTCGCTCCCATGTTGGGAGTGTCTCGTTTGGGGCAAAGAAACAACACACATTTTGAGGGCTTCTTCTTTGAGACCAACCCATACCCTGAATTTCAAAAAAAAACATGCAAACAACTGGGCTTAGTATCATCCAAATTGGGTCGCCTTGGGCCATTCTTTTCGCGGGGGCGAATCGGAACCCTAAAGCACAGTTCATTTCCGTTGATTAGGGTTCAAAGTAGCCAGAGACAAAGGGAGATCTCAAATGAAAGTGGATGATCTCAACGCTCTCCAATTTCCAGTTCATTTGATCTCATTGAAGCTAACGCGGATTTCTCGTTGATCTCAAGAAGTTGCCAGGTGCAAAGTGGAGGCCATGCCGCGCTGGGAAGGCGCGAGAGAGAGAGAGAGCGATGGAAAACCCTCGCGTTCAGCGGTTGTGATAGGACCCGGTTGAATGGGCGACTTTCTTCACTGGCCCCGAGCGATGATTCCCCAACGTACATACCCACAAACAATGGTTTCAACCATGGTTTCAACGTGGGGGAGGATTTCGTCCATCCACGGTGCGACTGAGGAATACCTGGGGCCAGTGAAGAAAGTCACCCATTCAACCGGGTCACCCAACCTTTTCAACATACCAACAACAAACCAAACCAAAGACATGGAGCATAATGTTGACCTGACATTAATCAAGCCCAGGCTATTAATAGGAGGGTGTCCAACTGGGCTTAGGGGGGAATCAGACCGCTTTTGGAGGGGCCCACCCGAAAAAATACTCTGGGGTTGATTAATATGGGGTCAACATTAGTTGGGAAGCTCATGCTCAAGCACAAACAATGTTTTGTTTTCTTTCGGCCAATCCACGTGAGAGAACCCGCTTTCCTAGCAGAGCAAGACTCTTGTACCATGAGCAAAGGTGTCCTTTATAGGTTGGTTTGATTAGACATAGACGGGTGTGACTGGTTTAGATGGGTTTTATGTTTTGTTTGCTCCTATGAGGGTTCCATTTCTGAGTGATATCCCCTTGGAAAAGGAGATTGACTCTCTTTCAATTGGACGGGTTCCGATCGCTTGGGGAAATGATGTGTATCCGCATGGCTTCGCCATTTGTTCGAAGGCTCCGCTTGCGAGTCAAAGGGCCTCCCGCTTGCGAGTCAAAGGGCAAAGTTGGCTCTTCGATTTGGGGAGCCGACCCAAATAGACGGTTTCCACTCACTCCAGAAAACTTGGTGGCAAGCCCAGCCATCCGGTTCCTTAGCTTCTTTTAGCTTCTTAGTGTCTAGTGGTGGGGTTTCCCTATTTAACCCACCCAAAGTTTTTCCAACTTGCAGGGGGATCTGAAAACGGGAAGCCCCGAACAGGGCGCCTTAAGATCGTTGGCATGGCAACAACCCCCATTAAAACAAAGGCAAGGACCCAATTTAGATGACAATCTTTAGGTAATTAATGTTTATACACATGCATGAACATATGATGACAAGCTTTAGGTTACATGAACCCAGTTTGTTTTAAAGGTTGTTTGAACCCGGCCAAGTCTCCCGCTTTGGGCTTCGCCCCAAAGTTGGCGCCCGTGTGCAACATGCAGCCTTGGAAAACGCAAACGCCCAGCTGACATTCTCCATGGATGCCTTAGCTTTCCAGCCTTTTAGTGTTTGGTGGTAGTGACCAAATTTCACCCACCAAAAGTCATTCACTTCAACCGGATCCGAAAACGGGCCCAGGTGTGTGGTTTACTTCCAAGATCTGCACCGTACCCTACCGGGAATGAGCAACCATCACCGCGTCCATGAGTCCATGAGCTCCAGATCGCTTTGACAGATTCACGCGAGCTCCCAGCGGTCTTTTCTCTTCTTTAGCGTGTGTCTTTTTGTAAAAGACAACCGGCAATTTGGAGGGTCCCCAATTTTGAGAAAACCCCATATTCCACTCAATTGAGTGTCTTTCAAAAGACAACCAGCAAATTTGGAGGGTCCCCAATTTTAAGAAAATCCCATATTCCACTCAATTGAGTGTCTTTCAAAAGACAACCGGCAAATTTGGAGGGTCCCCAATTTTAAGAAAATCTCATATTCCACTCAATTGAGTGTCTTTCAAAAGACAACCAGCAAATTTGGAGGGTCCCCAATTTTAAAGAAAATCCCATATTCCACTCAATTGAGTGTCTTTCAAAAGACAACCAGCAAATTTGGAGGGTCCCCAATTTTAAAGAAAATCCCATATTCCACTCAATTGAGTGTCTTTCAAAAGACAACCAGCAAATTTGGAGGGTCCCCAATTTTAAGAAAATCCCATATTCCACTCAATTGAGTGTCTTTCAAAAGACAACCAGCAAATTTGGAGGGTCCCCAATTTTAAGAAAATCCAATATTCCACTCAATTGAGTGTCTTGCTTATAGGGGTGACCCAATGATGGTTTTGCCCGTTGTCCCCGAAAACAAATGCGAACAGATGGTGCATGGTGGTCTTCCTTGTGGTTTCCTTTCTAAAGCCAACAAAAGACACGCCCCATGTCAAGTCAAGTCAAAAAAAGACACGCCCCCCCCATGTCAAGCTACACGGATCTTGCCGGGATACGCATGCCGGGCTTCGGGCCGCAGGTATCATATTATAACTTGTTTTTCCTTTTTTTTTCTTCTTTTTTTTTTTTTTTAAACGTTGGGGAAGTTTCTTAGGGACATGCTCTTTGGCACCACGAAATGAACTACACGGGAATGCCACTAGACGCTTTGTTGGTACGATGGGGCAAATCAGACGCTGGGGTTTCCGAACGGCGCGATGTCTGGATGAAAGCCACCCTCCACAGTGGGCGGAAGCACCTCGGAGAAGGATCCGGGGAGATGACATCCAGTCTGAAGGTTCGTTTGGCGAGCCAAGACCCCGCCAAGCAAGGAGGTTGCAGTGTTAAGACCCCCCTGCTTTTTTTTTGGTTTTTGTGTGTTTTTTTGTTATTGTTTTTGTTTTACGCTTTCAAGACCCCTTGCGAACTTCGACCTTTGGGCCCATTTGCCCCCTTTTTTTCCAGCAGGCCGGCTCCCGCCCGGTTTTGCCGCATCGAATGGCGCGGTCGACGTCAGGTTTTTGCATTGGCCGCTGTGGCTGGCACATCCATGGCCTTCCTGGGGATGTCCCCCATGCGCCAGGCGAAATGTTCTGCGAGAGTTGGCACGCGCATAGGTGTCTTTTTTGTTTGATTTGGTCGAAATATAGATTGTCTTGGTTTACATGGTGGTTTAATTATCTACCAGGGCAATCTATTTGCCCCACAAGGATACCTATGGGCACGCGTTGTTCAGGGGGGTTGAGACGCGGGTGGGGCAGCTAAAGGCTTATGAAAGCTGGCTTAAAGCGCGAAGGGTTGAGGGAGTCTTCTCTGTTTTTTTCCTTCTGTTTTTCCCCCTTGTTTTCGGTTTCCTTGTCAATGAAAATGCAGGAGCCCGGTTGTTTCACACGTTTTAGCTGGTCAAAGAACCCTTTGCTCGGGGTTGGCAGGGATGGTCATCCCCCGATTGTAGACAACTGTAGGGATTCCTTTTGTGTGAGCCATGACCGCCCACACAAGGGGGTTGGTGCCGAACCTTATTTTTTGGATGGCAAATCAAAGAGAGAGAGAGAGAGAGAGAGATAGAGAGAGAGAGAGAGAGAGAGAGAGCATAAGGGTATCTCTTTTGGAAGAACACGGGAGAGGGAGGGAATGGAGGGTGCGGACGTGTTCAGAAAGATTGTGACCACGGTGTTTGAATAGGCCAAAGACAGGCTTTCCCCACATCCTCTAAAGTGAACCTACAAAAGTTGGCAATTCTTCAACCCGTTTCACTGGTTGGAACCTCCAAAAGTGGGGGACAATTTCAATGGGGTTTCGCCCTCAAAAAAGAAGCAGGTCACAGAGACACGGACATGTTGAGTCACGCATCCGTCGTGGATGCTTTTGCCTCCGGCGGAAAGTCCAGGCAAACAGCTTAAACCCAATTGACATCGGGCACCAAGATGGTTGCCAGCTAGAACCACCTTCTCTCCGAAGCCAAATAGAATCGCTTGTTAAAAGTGGTTCGGAGAGATTGGGCGTGTTTTTTTTTGCGGGATCCTTTTTTGGATGTTTGTTTTTTGGGGACACCAAAAGGACCCCGGCATTATTATTTTTTTTGTGGGGGGGGGAAATTCCCGAGCTAATACAGGACGAGGCCACCCGTTCTATTACACTCCGTCCCACGAACATGGCACCTGACAGAGGGTCCGTTGAAGAGGGAATCGATCTTCCGGGGCGCCTCCCACAGATGCTACTGTGGATGGCCGAAATCCGTTCGCACCACCTAAGAAACCATGGTTGAAACCACAAGGTTTGTTGGTATTTACGTTTGGAATCAGACCATTCCAGGGTTTTTGAACGGTGGTGCCTAAGAGGATTTCGCAACCATCCACAGTATGAAGTATCCAACTGGTGGGAGGAAGGGTAAGGTCGGCTTGAGAGAGTTGCGTCTTCCGTCCGTTTTTCGCTCGCTCGCTCGATCGAGCTGCCAGGGATACAGAGGCCATTTTGCGGGTCGAGCTGAAGCCGCCCGGCCGCACCGCGGGAGCGGCCATTTTCTGGCGAAGAACGAGCGATTCGGTCCAGAGTTTGGGGGGGACTCGGGTCCCCTTACTTTTTTTTTTTTTTTTTTTCCCTTTTTTTTTTTTTTTTTTCGATTTGCACGGATTTCATGACCCTGGCCCTTTGGTCGGCTATGGGTGTGTCTGTATTTGGGAGGTTCTTTGCCATTATAGCGGCCAACAAGTTTGTTTTTGGGCCAGTCCACTCGATCGGAAGTGAGTTGTGCTCCGCCTTTTGAATTGTTTACATGGTTCCGGGCTCATTCTTATGCCAGGTTTTGATTACGAGTTGCCCCCGCGAGACGTTCGGTTTTGGTTCGGTTTGCGAAGCCGAGGAACCCGTTTGGATGGATGGATTAGCCAATTGTCAGGAGTTGGGCTCGTGTTTCTAAGGTTGGACATCTCCAAAATGGATTTCGGTTTTCCTTTTGGTTTGCCTTTAATTAGAACGGGTGCCAAACGGAAAAAAAAAGAAGGACGGACCCCTTCGCAGACTTGCCCATTCGCACGTTGCCATAAGGGAGGAAACTCGTCTTCCCCGAAACGCCAGGCTTCGTGGCAATGTGGAGAAGGGACGTGAGAAAATTGGCGACCCCTCTCAAGAAGGAATCCTTTACTACGAGGGGGTCGAACAATTTTCCACAAAAGGTGGCAAAAACATCCCCTCTCAGGACATGTTTTTTCTGGGAGCACCTCATATTTGTTTCATGATCTCGGATGTTGGAGGATTCAACCGCGATTCAAAAAAGCAAGTTCCTTGGACCCCGAAAGGAGTCTCAAAGACATACCGCAGATCCAAGTCTGGTTACCGGGGCAAGGTAGGTTCAATCATGTTAGTTGGCATCTCTGGTTCTTACCGGGGTCCAATAGACCCCTTTGACGGGAAACCTAAATGGGTGTTTTGTTTTTGAGGCACCTAAACTCGGGTCTGTGCACGGGCCAGTGTTGGAAGAAATCAAACATTGTTTTCACGGGTGTGAATTTTAGCTGGGGCTGCCTGGTGGACATCAGAATTCGGCGAGGATTGATGTACTTCATTCCTCGTTAATTCATGGCAATGAGGTCTTATGAAGCGTTCGTACGGGTTTCATAGGCAGCCAAAGCTGCACGTGAACGGTGTGTTCAGCTGGCCTTCTGCACTTGTTTCTTTTTAGTTCACGCGCTCACCGATTCAAGTCAAACCTGCTTACCCATGAAGGCGTTTACTTGGGGACTTTTTTGGTTTACTGGGGGGTTTCGTTGAAATCGCCCAACATCGGGCCCATGATGGCTCAGCATCAATACGAACCCCTCTATAACTTGTGCAGATGTGAGTGTGCCTCTTTTACAGGCAGCAAGCTAAGGCAGGACGCCTATTTCTTCATGCGATCATACTTTATCTTTATTATTATTATTATTGTTTGTTATTATTAGTAATTATTGTTATTATTATTATCATTATCATTATCATTATTATTATTATTATTATTATTATTATTATTATTATTATTATTATTATTATTATTAATTAACCATCGGGCGTCTTCAAACTGGAACATACATTCTACCACAATCATCATTTGGCATCGGGCATGCTAATTATTTTCTAAAATGGGCAGTCCAAAAAGCAGGCTCAATCCCGCCGGAAAAGTGTCTCCAAGTATTTTGAGACTCCTGTTGACTTGTGGTTTCCGCGTCACATGTTCGAACTATGTGTCATTCAGCAACGGTACTGTAACAAAGGGAGGAGATTGGGCACACTCACAGAATTGCCACTAGGAAATGAAGGTTGCTCACCAAATTCCCATGTCAGCTGGGGACACAATGAATATGAAATTTCTCAACATGGCGGAAAGACCCCTTTTAGTCGGGATTTAGGGAGAGCGAATCCGGTTTATCTTGGTCTCAAAATTGGGTTGCCTCCCCCCCCTCAATAAATAGATAATCACATAAACAGAACCTTTTCACCAATGGGTCGTTTTCCTTTGGTTCGAGCTTCTCGACGACCCCAACAACGGGTAGAAGACAGCCAAAAAAAGGATCGCTTTCCTCGGGTTCGACCCCAAGGGGCTCCTCGTTTCGATGCGCCAGGCGGTGGAGAGGCTGCAGAACTTGGCCCGAGCGGCGGAGTACAGCAGCCTCAAGGCTTCGACAAGCCGAATGGCGTGAATTTTCCATTTGGGTGGGAATGGTTTTCATTTTCCCCTGGTTGTTTCCCCTCTTGCTTTTTCTTCAAGACGCGGTCGAGTTGGAATGGACAGTGGATGGTTGCGAAATCCGTTCGAACCACCTAAGAAACCCTGGAATGGTCTGATTCCCTGTCAAGACCCCTTCTTCCATTTGGTAAAGACTATTTTTCATTTAAAGGGAATCGATTTCACTACTGGAAATATTTACCTACTGTGGATGGTTGCAAAATCCATTTCGCACTACCTGAGAAACCATGGGATGGTCTGATTCTCCTGTAAATACCAACAAACCTTGTGGTTTCAACCATGGTTTCTTTGGTGGTGCGAACGGATTTCGTCCATCCACAGTATGAAGCATCCAACTGGGGGTTTCCTTTAAGAGGATCTGAAGTACAGTACTGTGGATGGACAAAATCCTGCACCAGCTAAGAAATCCTGGAATGGTCTGATTCCCCTGTAAATGATGCTATGAATCATCCAGCTGGTGCTAGCTCCCCCAGTAGTCCCGCAGTAGTGCCCTAAAAAGGGACACCCCCCACGTCCTCTTGGGGGAGCAGAGGCCTTTCATTTTGGTTAAGAATAGCATTTCCCGAAAGCATCGCGAAGGGTTCTTTGGAAAAAACGGTTGCCGACTGCACAGCCTGACTTAAGCAGCCTAGCTTACGCAGCGGGACTTACTTACGCAGCCTGACTTACGCAGCCTGACTCACGCAGCCTGACTCACGCAGCCTGACTTACGCAGCCTGACTTACGCAGCCTGACTTACGCAGCCTGACTTACGCAGCCTGACTTACGCAGCCTGACTTACGCAGCCTGACTTACGCAGCCTGACTTACGCAGCCTCACTTACCAGCCTCACTTGCGCAGTCTCACTTACGCAGCCTGACTTACGCAGCCTGAGTTACGCAGCCTAGCTCACGCAGCCTGACTTACGCAGCCTAGCTTACGCAGCCTGACTTACACAGCCTAGCTTACCCAGCCGAAGCTCGTAGCCTTTAATTCTATCTTCTTTCTTAGCCGGGGGCAGGTCTGGCGGGCGCTGGGAGGATGAACCCTCTGCGGGGATCGTGCGCGTCGGAGCGCTCTCGCTGTGGCGCCGTGCGAATTTTCTACGTCGCCGACGAACCCTCTGCGGGGATCGTGCGTGCCGGAGCGCTCTCGCTGTGGCGCCGTGCGAACTTTCTACGTGGCCGACGAACCCTCTGCGGGGATCGTGCGTGTCGGAGCGCTCTCGCTGTGGCGCCGTGCGAACTTTCTACGTGGCCGACGAACCCTCTGCGGGGATCGTGCGTGTCGGATCGCTCTCGCTGTGGCGCCGTGCGAACTTTCTACGTGGCCGACGAACCCTCTGCGGGGATCGTGCGTGTCGGAGCGCTCTCGCTGTGGCGCCGTGCGAACTTTCTACGCGGCCGACAAACCCTCTGCGGGGATCGTGCGTGTCGGATCGCTCTCGCTGTGGCGCCGTGCGAATTTCAAAGCTCGCCGACGCTCGCTGCTTCTTGTCACGGCAGTCGCCCTGTGGACCTTTTGGGGTGGCACATGGCTTTTCTACTGATGGTTGCGAAATCCATAAAACACACCACTGTTCAGAAACCCTGGGTTGATCCCCCTGTAAATGCCAATCAACAATGGTTTCAACCATGGTTTCGAAGTGGCGCGAAACGGATTTCGTCGATCCACAGTACCCCCAAAAGGTCAAAGCAACTACTGTCATCTCCCGAATCTAAAAGGGTCTTGTCTCTTTCCGTCGGGGTTTCCCTGTAGAAACATACCCCATTTTCAAAATGGCTTCGATTTTCCTCGGGGTGTCCGACGGGTGTCCTTTTTTGGGCAAAAACCGGGAAACACAGGCTAGCCTCAGAAAGAGAGGAGGGCAAAAGGCAAAACCTGCGATCGGTGCCATCAGCAGGGAATGTGGTTGAATAAACCCCTTGGGGTCATTCAACCACATTCCCTGCTTACCGCACCGATCGCTTCAGAAAAGGAGCAACATTTAGTCCACCGCCCACGCGCTCGCTCGCGTGCGAGGGCCCGCGCGCACTCGCACGCGCCGCGCGCTCGATGGTCAGGTTGCCGAGCTCAAAGAGATGCTCGCGGAGCGCGGGCTCAAGGTGAGTGGCCGCAAGGCCGAGCTGATCCAGCGGCCACTGGGTCAACGTTTTCGCTGGGTGTGTCAAGTACTTTTTTTGAGGTGAAGGGTAGCCTTTGAGGGGTTGGTTTAAAGGGAAACCACTGGTAAACCACTCATTTGGCAGGTTCCTATGAGAGTCGTCCTATAAAGGGGAAGATCTGTTGGTCTAAGCGTTGACCTATGCGAAAGTCAGTTTGTTCTTCTCGAAGATGGCGGTTTCCGGAACAAGGAATTCAGACAACCGTCAGACTCTGGCTGTGTCTTTTTTTGAGGCGAAGGGTACCCTTCGAGTTGGTTTAAAGGGAAACCACAGCTAATCCAACCACCCATTTTGGATTCCTATTTTGAGACTCCCTATTCAAGACATAGCCTAGGTGAGGGGTTTATTTTCAGTTCACTTGGCAAGCCGCAAAGACAGATAAGACGCCCTATTTCAAGACATGGGTATGGGTCAAAATTAAGCCACCAGGATATGGACCGCAGGTTTTGGTCCATTCCACTTGCCAGGGTAACCCATCGTGGGGTTACCCAATTTTGCACCCACACATAGCCTAGCGGGCAGACCACCTGACTCCCGGGTTCGGGGGTTTTCTTTCAAAGACCCAGGCTAGAGGAGGACGACGAGGTGCCGATCCAAACCGAGCCATCTTTTGGCTCACGGGTTCGGCTGTCTGGGCCGCTCGAACAGGTCCAAAACGGACCCTGCGTGGATTCCGCCGACTCTTTGCCCCCCTTTTTTGTTTTGGGTAAGGGTTCCCCTTTAAGCTCAGCCGGCCAGAGAAGTACTTTTTTTTCCCGTTGGCCACTGGGCATCTGAGAGAAAACGAGCCCCAAATGCAAGATGGCTTAATGTCAGGGTTGTGGGATCAAGGGGTTTATCCCCACTTCTGTGATACAAGGGACCTCTTTATATGGGGGGTTGGTCTTTGGGAGGCCCTTTTTGTTGTATCACAGATTCGTGGATTCCATTTCAACCACAGCCCTGTTCCTTAGGTCCACTTGTGAGTAGACCGATCGACCCTCTGGGGGTCCGGATGCACGCGAATCGATCGGCACCAGTTAGGATGGATGAAGCTCTGGGAAGCGGTTGGCTGTTGCTTGTCCACGTCAGGTAAGTAGGTTTCCATAGCCGGAGTAAGCGGGGGACCATTTTTTTCGAAATCTCCTGCTTGCCTGGTTGAAAATATGGTCCAAGCAAATGAACCAAGTCGTAGGTGCCAGCGTTTCCCCACCCGATTCCTGCTGTGGATGGTTGCAACATTCGCGTAAAACACAGCAGCTGAGTTGCATGAAACCTGACTTGAATACGGGTTGGCAAATCACTTATCCCAACTGGTGCAATTTCGTCCATCCACACCGGGAGCTTGCTTGTCAGGGCCAATGGTTGTCAAGGGCGACTCAAAAGTTGACAAACACTCTTTTGGGGGACCCCTGCTCAAGAAGACACGCGACCCAAAGATTCTTGAACAATATGTCGGCACAAGGATTTTTGACGATTGAAGATTTGTTGGAACAACCCAAATATGTTCGACCCCAAAGGAAAGGGTCCCAATTGGACCCGAGCCCTTTCTCTTCCCCAAGAGGAAAGATTCTCATTTGTCGATCCGCTTTTTTGGGATAAGCCAAAATGCAAAAGAAAGGTCCAAGAACCGGCAAGGGCTTGGACACTCAGCTTCCCCCACCCAACCCCGGTTGATTGACCCCAGCGAGAGCCGGAGGCGGAAGAGGAAGAGGAGGAGGAGCTGGAGGAGGAGGAGGAGCCGGAGGAAGAGGAGGAGGAGGAGCTGGAGGAGGAGGAGGAGGAGCTGGAGGAGGAGGAGGCGGAGGAAGAGGAGGAGGCGGAAGAAGAGGAGGAGGCGGAAGTGGAGGCGGTGCGTTTTTTTTTTTGCAGCAGACCCCCCAAAATGGCTTCGGTCTGCCTTTCTATTTTCCTTTGTGGTACCAGCCAAGCATGTCTTTTCCCTAAAGACGAGAATACCAGTTCCCTCAGCTGAAAGGCGTGAGGCGACCTTTTTTTTGCCCCCCACTTTTGCCCCCACCCGCCCCTTCCGACTTTCTTTTCTCCAGGTTTGGGGGCTCCCCCGTTTTTGGCCCCTGCCTTTTGCGGGGCTCGTGTTGGTGCCACCTGCAAGTCCTGGCCCAACACGCCGCGGAAGGTTCGTTCACGGAGCCTTGGTTCACGAGCAACAAGCACGAGGGCACCGACTGCAAGTTACACATGACATCACTTGGTGGCTCCCAGCCATCCGGTTCCTTAGCTTTTTAGCCTTTTAGTGTTTAGTGGGGATTTCCATGTAACCACTAAAAGTTAAACTTCTGGCGGGGGATCTGAGCACAGCCCAGATCAGATTCTGATGTTACGCGACCATGTTTTGACACTTCTCGCAGGGAACAGGAGGTCGCTTCCGAAGAGAAACTTGATCTTCGCGCATTTAGAAGGCACTTCGGTGCCTTCTTTTGGGAGCGTAGATACTTTAGACTATCGTAGACTTGCTGGTTCTCAGCAGGGAATGAACCCAGGCTTTGGTCCCCGAGTAAAGACAACCAGCAAGAGATGGTTTATCTCTGGTTCATTCCATGACTCTCATTTCCTACTTCTCGCACCGATCGCAAGAAGACGTTTTTTTTTTTTGCCGCTTGGTTTCCCGAAGCAACCCCCAAAAAAGTTTTTTTTTTTCTTGGTTTCCCTGAGCACCGGTTAACAAAACAAAACAACAGGTCAAGAACTAAACAGCTTCGCTTGGGCGCGCGATCGATCGGCCCAAAAACCGCTTGCCAGAAGCCGAAGAAGAGCTCCAAGTCAGCGTCCTCCGAGTCAGACTTCAAGGCGCTTTGCTGCCACGTGAAACCTCCACCCCGCAGGGATTTTGGTGGGTGGGCCCCGATTTATTTATTCTATTTTTTTTGGGGGGACGGGGGTGGAGAGTGGTTTGCTGTTCTTTGGGTTCTGACCTGAATGGCAACTGTTTAAAATTTTCGGAGAGCCACCAAACTTGGACACGCGGAAGCATTCCTCATGGCTGGTCTGTTGTGACCAAACCGCCGTTAAGGGCTTTCAATTGAACTCAACCAAAAGCATGGCACGACCTTTAAACCACATTCTGGCAAAAGGAACGACCCAGTTTGCCACCTTTTTTTGGTTTGGTGGGAAAAACTGTCTGGCTTCGGATGCTCTTATCAAAGTTGGCAGACCCTGTCTATTCCCCCCGGACACCCTGGTTTCTTTTTCGGCCAGAAAGAGTGTAGTATGGGCGTGTCGTTTTTTTGGGGGTAGCCCATTTTGGGCTCGGTCGTTGGGAAACCAAGGGGAACCATTCTGGGGTTCCTGATTTAGCACCATACTGTGGATGGACGAAATCCTGCACCACTTTGAAGCATGGGAAACCATAATTTGCTGGTATTTACAGGAGAATCATCATTCCAGGGTTTCTTAGGTGGTGCAGGATTTTGTCCACCCACAGTATTTTGCGGATGGGGAGGGTTTTCCTGTTGATTGATCCCCAACCGCATTTGGGAATTTACACATGCCATCCAGCCACTTTGAGGCTTGGCACCCCTTAGGTTGGTTCAAGTGGAGATTGTCAGAGAAAGCCCATTGTTTTTGGTGTTCCAAGTCCAGGTTTTGGGTGTGTCGTTTTTTAAGGGGACCCACAAAATCGGCTTTGGTTTTCCTTTTGGTGGTGTCCTTTTTAAGCCAACCAATCGTGGGGTACCCCAAAAAAGACACCCACTTTGATCACCTTCCCGATGCCAATCTCTCATGGTCCTTCCCCCGGTTCATACGGGTGCTCACCGTGTTTTTTCGGGGGAAGCCAAAAGGAAACAGAAGCCCTGGTTTTATATGCCTTTGTTTCCTGGTTACCCACTTTACGATGTGTGGGAAAGGCATCTTTTGGTGGGAGATGAACAGCAGCAAGCCTTTAGATATGGGTCGGTAACAAGACAGCATGGTCAAAGCGGCGATCCAATCGAATCTGCAATGCGCTATAGAAAGCAGTATCCATTTCCACAACCATGTCCTAAGACTAAGCGATTTTGAAGGAAGCCGACCAGGTATCCCGTATGGAAGCATGTTTGCAGGTTCTCTAAATGTCGACCGAAATCCAAAGCTTCTATTTTCAGTTGGGGGGCAATACTGAGGTATATATATATATATATATTAGAAAAATAACACTGCAAATACCAGTGAATTCGTCAAACAGGTAGGTCCCGGGCAGAAGGGTACCATATATATATATATAGATTTCTGTGCACAAAGAGTTTCTCATACAGTGCTGCAATGGAGAACTGGTTTCGCGTGGGACATCCACTCCATATTTGTGACAATGGACTCCATTCCTTGTCTAACCCGGGTCCACTAAGGTGACATCTTGAAGATTAGGGACACCCCCTCCCCCTCCCCTCCGTTTCACAAAGAAAGAGAAGCGCTCAACATGCTGAGCCCAACGTAGAGGCTTCGCTGCAAACACAATGGATCTACGACAAAAAACAAGAACAAGAAAAAACACACCCAGGGGATTTCTAGGTTGTCTCAAGACGGAACTGGAACTTCCAATGGCAATGGCGTGCGTTCCAGGTTGGGCGGGATGGAGTCCTAGGGTTCTTTAGGGCTCCTTAGGGTTCTGTAGGCTTCCTCAGAGTTCCTTAGCTTTCCTTAGATCAAATCCTTAAGAACCCCTACCGGAAATTCCCCTAAAACGGCTTCCCCTGTCCCCTTCCGAGCGCCTAGGGCCCTTTAGAATTCTTTCGGGCTCCTTACAGTTCCTGGGTTCTTAGAGAACGGGACTCGCCCTATGCCGCTGCCTGGGAAATTGTCTACGGCTTCTGGCAAGAAACCACCAGGACCGCCCCGCGGCTTTCGCGGCTTTCGCGCCTTTCGCGCCTTTCGCGGCTTTCGCGGCTTTCGCCCCGCGGCTTTCGCCCCGAAGCGAAGGCGGGGCAGCTGGCCTTGGCCAAGTTCCACGAGGACGAGCGGTTCTACACCGCCGCTGGGACCGAAGAACTCCGCCGCCGTTTTCGCTGGAGGGCGCCGGCGTGTTTTTTTTTGGAGGAAACGGTGGAGGAAAAAAAACGCCGGGCTTGTTTTTTTTTTTTGGGTGGAAAGCCGCCGCCTTTTTGGTGGCCGATGTTCTTCCCGTTTCCCGGAGGGCGTGTTTTTTGGGTGGAAAGCAACCACGTTTTTTGGTGGGTGTGTCTTTTTTTTGTCGATTTTGCAGGGATTCCAAGAGGACAAATGCATTGCTTGGACAGAGAACCCTGGCCTTTTTCAGGGGCCATTTTGCAAAGCCTCATTTGGTTTCTCAGGATCGCTCTTATTTTCAAAAGGCTCGGCCAAAGTGTTCAATGGTGGACTCCGTTGGGTGGTTTATAAGGCCAGCCAAAAGGAACCAACCCCCTTTTGGGGGTCCCCGATGAGAAAGACACCGCTTTGATTCCATCTGAGTTTGTGGGTTGTGGGCGTGTCGGTTGAACGTCCGATATGGACAAATGGATTGCTGGAAACATCGATGGTGTCCGTTTTGAGGGCACCCTGGTTGTGTTGGAAGGGAAGCGCCCTTTGGCAACGCGACACTGCTCCCAGTTTTGTTTTTTCCCCGGTGGAGAGGACGTGGAGGGCCCAGTGCCCTCGAACCAGAGAGACTCGCTCGGTCAAAGCCAATGCGCACTGAGCCATGTGTGCGAGTGACTGAGTATCTACGATCAACTGATTGTTTTTTGTCTCTGTGTGCAGCCTTAAATGGACACTAACGGAAGCCACCCGTTTTAGAGGCTTCCCACATTTTAAGACACCTCCAAGTTTGTTTCCCTCCCAAAATTAGGGGGAGGCCCTTCTTTAGATGGTGGTCTCTTGAAACATATGGCCATGGGTCAAAATCCTGTACCTCCAGTGAACATCCCAATCCCCACTAAAACAGACTAAAATGTGCACCTACCCCAAAATGGTACCATTGGTTCTGACCTACAATATTCCCCAAGATGGGGTGGCCTTATTTGTTTCCACAAAATGATGAGAGCCCTAGCGCATCAAGCAACACTCACCACTCCTGTTGTCCACGGTAGCCGCGGAGTTTTTGGGTGTGTGTGTGTGTGTGCTGGAGATTAAGGCCCATAGACGTCCTTTTGATCGGTCAGTTTGGTTAAGAATAGATGGGTTCCAATCGTTTAGATGGGTTTTGTTCCATTTGCCAGGGCCATCTATTTTTCCAAAAGGCCACCTATGTTAAGGCCTGTCGAAAGCTTTGTAACCATGTTATGATCCGAAGCACATGTCAATCGGTTTCGGACCATCGCTGTGTGAGTTGTTTCTATGTTCGGCAACACAATCATAGCTTAATTCACCCCCCGCCCCCCGTATCCTGCCCAGATGTGAAATTGCACATTCATGTTGCAGTTTGGGCTCATTAGTAAGGCTTAGTAGTGCTTGGTAAGTGTTAGCAAGGCTCGGCACTACGCAAAACTGATCACGAGTGCTATTGAGCCTGCTGAGTAGTTGGAACCGAAATGACTCCTATGTGTACTGTGATTAGCTTAACGGTCATTTTATTTGTGCTGCAACTGCGCCGCACACTGAACACCTGTGAATTGAACATCAGCGGATGCAGACCTAGCGGCACTCAAACGCACTCAGTATCGATAAGCAAAAGCTCATTAGAATTTAGCAAGCACTCAGTAGCAGTCAAAAGGGACTTAGCAGCACTCAGCAGCACTCAGTGGCACTCAGCCAGAACTCAGTAGCATTCAGGAACACTCAATCACAACCTAAAACAGCGCATTGTGAGTAAGCACTCAGTAGCACTCAGGAGGGGGTTTGTGGGGGGAGTCACGGGGGGTCACGGGCAGTCACGGGTCTGTCAACACTCAATCACAACCTGAAACACCATATTTTGGAATCCCAGCTCAGCACTCAGTAGCACTCAGGAACTCTCAATCACCACTCAAAAACACAGCACATGGGCGGCCCAGGCCGAACAAGCATTCAGCACGCTTCAAGCTTCCAGGTAAGCTACCAATGGCAAGCCTGGAGTGGTGGCCTCCTCATTCCCTCTGAGTCTACAAGTGTGAGTTGTAGGGAAGTGAGATCAATGTCGCAAAAGGAAAGCAAGTCTGGGATTAAAAAACGACTCCATTCCCTAGTGTACAAGTGTGCGTTGTTGTAGGGAAATGAGTCCAATGCCACCAATGGAAAGCAAGTCCGGGATGAAACAACGAATCCAACCTTTGCTACGCAAAATTTGAGCAAGCCGTGTTCCTCAAAGGTCCGGGGTCCCACTTGCCAAATCCTGGGCTCAGTGCTCAGCTACGGTGAGTCTTAGTGAGTCTTAGTGACATTTGGGAGATGGGGATACGCAGGGAGTTAAGTAACCTATGACAAGGCTTCCTTCGTTCGGAAACCTGTTTGGCTTGTTCAAGGAACTGAACAGCACGTGGATCCAATTATACTGTAGCCCGAATTGTTCCGAACAAACAAAAGTGGACTCCTTTAATCGTTTTGACTCCGGGGTAAGGGGGTCCTCCCAACAAATATCTGATATTTGCGGACAGATTGAAGATGCACCAAAGTCAGAAAAATATATTTGAGCGGGCCAAGACTTTGGCAAAGCCAGTTTTCAGCTTCAACCGCTGTTTCACCAACCTCTTTCTGGCATGAGCGATCTTCTCCCCTCCAGCCATCCCCTTAGCTTTTTAGACTTTTAGGGTTTAGTGGGGGTTTTCATCCAACCCACTCAAAGTTATTCACTTTTAGCCGGGGATCTGAAAACGGACCGCCCTTCCTTTGCGCCGGAAAGCCGGAAAGCGCTTCAGGTGATCATCAAGAAGGACAACGGCGACGGCTCCTTCAACATCGTGTGGCTGGAGGACGAGGCCCAAGACACCGCCAACCTCGAGGACTTGAGGCCTTCGGATCGATTCTTTTTTTCGGGTGGTTGAGGTGTGGATGGTTGCGAAGCCAATGCGCCCTATGGAATGGTTTATGATACCCCAAGGAAAGTACCAACAGCCTCCGTGTTTTTTTTCTCCTCGTTTTTCTTCTTGTTTTTCGGTTCGGTCGGCTGAAATCGGATGGTGGAGGTACTGTGGGTGGTTGCGAACTCCATCCAACGTGCCGTTCAGAAACCCTATGAAATGATACAGTGGATGGACAAGATCCATTTCGCACCACCTAAGAAACCCTGGAATGGTCTGATTCTCCTGTACATACCTCAACAAATTATGGTTTCACCCATGGTTTCTTAGGTGGTGCGAAATGGATTTCGCAACCATCTACAGTATGATTCCAACCAATGGTAAATACCAACCAATGGTTTCAACTTCATGGTTTCAGCCGGTGGCGCGAGCAGCGGATTTCGCAACCGTCAGTGGGGCAGCATTCGAGGGGTGGTGTCCGAGGCGTGAATCGTTTCAATGGACCAGCAAAGTGATACTGTGGATGGTTGCTAAATCCAGAGATCGCACCATCTAAGAAACCCTGGTTTATGATGAAGCCCCCGTAAATACCAACACACAATGGTTTCAACCACGGTTTGAAAGTGGTGTAGGATTTCGTTCATCCACAGTATCAACTTTTGATTGGGGGAAACTCTTCGTGACGCCGTTACGGGTGGTTTCCTCACGGCTTGCCCAAAGCGAATCGACCGGACCTGATCTTGCCAAGGAAGCGCAACAAAAGGTTTGAGTGGCCCCAAAAGGTTGGCCTGGTAAATTTGCGGGTCCCAAAGGGGCAAGTCTTGGTTTGGAGAATTCCTGCACCAGTCGGGATGGATGAAGCCCTACTTCTAAGGGTACCTTCCAATTCCATTCTTTCTAGGCATCCGAGTCTTTCTAGAAAACCTCCGGAAGCCCAGGTTGAGAACGGATCCGGGTTTTGGAAAGAACGATGGTTGAAAAGAATGGACATCGGAAAAACAACCCCAAGAAAATGGTTGGTGCGTTCTGTGGATATTTTTTCTAACCATCCACAGTGAGGAGTCTGATTTCGGATGCCTTGAAGCTCTGAACGGAGTCCCCTGCACGGCGCCCGCCAAACCCAAATTCCTACATGGGAGGGTCGTTTTCGGGGGGGGGGGGGGATCCCCTTGGGGCTGTTGAGAGTGAAGCCTTCCGCGAACTCTGTAAGGTCCCTCTCTGGCAGCCCAACCAAAAGGGGTCCCCGCAACGATGCTCGGTTGGTTTCTGGCGGAACCCTTTCAACCAACCAAAAGGAGGGTACCCTCAAAACAGACACACCTGAATGATGGTCAAAACACAAGAGTACAACAACACACCGGCTTCGTTTTTTTTGGCATCCCCTTCAGCACGCACTCATCGGTGACGAATGCTAGCAACTACACAAACAGAGGTTGGGTTTGTTTTGAAGGGGGGGGATCCCAAATTTCTAGGGGGAACTGCCCCATTCTTTCCAGAGATCCTTCTTTCTAGAAAACCACCAAAAACCCTGAGGACATGGCCGGTTTTTGAAAGAACGATGGCTGAAAAGAATGGGGAATCAACCCCTAGAAAATTGTTGGCTTCCCTTTGGCGTCCAGTAAACAAATACGGCCCAGGTGGTATCCCCAACAGCCCACCTCCACACCCTAGAGCCGCTCCGAACCACTTTGGCGTATTTGGGCTGAAAGACAAGGCCGCCCACTTTTTCGGAGACTCGGTTTTCCTCTCGGTGTCCCTCAAAAACCACCGAACAAAAAGGGGATACCCTCGAAAAGCAGGCGAGTCCCCCCGGTTTCACCCCCGGCATACATGGCGTGTCTAAAAAACCCAGTTGCCCAGTAGATTCCGCCCTTTTTTCCAACTTTTTTTGGGGAAGGGAATTCCTTTAAAGTCACCCCACAAAAGTCGGATGCCCCGTCTTTTTTCCCCCCGAAAAAATCCACCCGGCATCTGGGACACGTCCCGAGGCAGCAGTCCAAAGCGAGCATCAAGAAGGGGGACCTTGTAGTCGCCAAGTGCGCGGAGGATGGACGACGCTACACCGGCATCGTCCAGGAGCGAGCCTTTTGGTAGTCCCTTGCATTGCCAACTGAAACTGAAGTCCCTTTGGGGCACAGTGAGGTGTGGCTTGAAGTTTCCAAAACCCCAACACCCCAAAGCCCCATTTGAGTATATATATATATGTATACATACAATGTTTGATATAATAGTAATCTTTGTCAGAGACTAGTGATAATTTGGTTCTTTGGTATGTTCAGGATGGCTTTTCAAGGAATTGAGCCAAGGAAGTGCGCGCTTCGATTGCTTGTGGCGAGCCATGGCAAAGAAACAAAGAAAGACTTTACACAAGGGCACATGGGTGGCTCGTCTTTTGTTGAGGGACCCAAATCCAAAATGGTGGGTTTTAAAGGGAAACCAGGAAACCAGAAGCCATTTTGCGGGTACCCCGATTTTAAGACACACCCACCATGTGTAAAGTCAGGAACCAACAGCCCGAGCCGTTCCCAAAAGATCAGATTTCCACTGCTCGAAGAACCATTTTCGGGTACGGTTTCCTGACGCATTTCCCGAGTCACCCTGATGCGTTTTTTTCCACCCCAACTTTCGGGGCTTCCTACTGTACAGCGAGCTCAAGCCGAATCGTGCTTCGGTATGACTTCGCGAAAGCCGAACCATCCACCTCATATTTTCTGTGCACCCCAGTGAGCCACAATCAAAACCCGGGTAGATGAAGGTTGGTAAGGGGCAGTCAGCCGGAAATAGTTGCGGAATTCCGCCTTCTTAATTCTTGAACCCTGGTTCTGGGAGTACGCCCATTTTAGTACCGGGTCTTGATTCCATGGAATCTTCTGGGGGGCTATGGGGGGGGCTATCTATCCCAGGATAAGCCAGGATCACCTAAGGATGCGCCCTGAATACGGCCTTAATAACTGAATAAGGCCTTAGCCAGGATCACCTAAGCTCATTAAGGGACAGCCCCCCCTTCCCCAAAGCCCTGCCTGGAGGGTCCATGATGATTCGTTGGACTCGGATCGCGACCTTCGTTGGAGATGGACCCCAGTTAGCCGCCAGGAGAACCTGGGAAAGGGCTACCTCACCGTGCAGCGACGCGGCGAAAAGTCGCGGAAAGGGGGGGGGTCAAAAAATGAAGCCACCAGGATATGGACTCCATGACCGCAGGTTTTGGGCCCTTCTTTCCATTTTACCAGGGTTCCATTTGGTGTGTGTGTGTGTGTGTGTGTGCTTTTTCGAGGGCACACTTTTTGGCAGTTTTTCATTTTACACCAGAAGGGAACCTGCCATTTCGGAGTTTGCCCCACTTTGAGACAGCTCGGAGCCACACAACACGAGCGAAAAGGCCCAGCTTTTTTGGGAAACAACAAACATGGCCTAGGTTGTTGTGCCGTTTCTCTTGTTTTGTGTGTTTTTGCTGGCTTGTTTGGCGCTTTGTTGTTTGTCAAATCTAGATTTCTGAGGTTCCAGCTATGTTTTTTGCCACCAACGTCGGCCAATCTAGACACTTGGCCCAGTTGCTTCCTTTTTTTGTGCCAGTTTTTGGAGTTTGCTTTTCCATGGCCCAGAAGGGGCCCCAACCCTTGGTTTTCCCGTCGCAAGTGAGGTACCTAGAGGATGAAACGGAAGAGGAGGTGATGCTGGACAATGTGTGGAAGCAGCAGAAGAAGTTCAAGGACAGAAGCGGTTGAAACATGCAGGCCTTTGGTCACGGGTAAATTTCTCATGACCTCAGTAGCGAGCCCGTAGTTCAGGTTAGTAATTTGTTCGATGTGGCAAAGAGGGCTCAAAGGACCTCGTTTTGGTTTCCCCTTCACCTTCTGAAGAGTCAGGGCAACTGGATGCACAAGCAAAGTTTGGATGTTTTTGGACATCGTCTTAGGGTAACTTTCTGTGATACCAAGGGACTCCCTTCAAAGTGATAAAGTTAGGAGTGACCAAACTTGGTATGACATTTTCCACTGTGGAGAGCCTTCCTTCATAGATGCGGCAATCACGGATCCACCCCCCCCCTCTCCTGACCCCCATCATTCCGATTTTCTCAGCGGGGAAACACGAGAGGGGGAAGTATTCTTGTGTTATGTTGATGTAGATATGGCCGTGGGTCAACAGGTGCACCACCCATTTTCGAATCTATTTTAGTGGGGATCGGGATGTTCACTAGGGGTACGATTTGGGTTTTGACCCATAGCCATATACCTATATCTATCTATCTATCTATCTATCTATCTATCTATCTATCTATCTATCTATCTATCTCTATCTATCTATATCTATCTATATCTATCTATGTCTATCTATATCTATCTATATCTATCTATATCTATCTATATCTATCTATATCCATCTATATCTATCTATATCTATCTATATCTCTCTATATCTCATCTATCTATCTATCTATCTATCTATCTATCTATCTATCTATCTATCCATGTATCTATCTATCTATCTAATCCTATCTATCTATCTATCTATCTATCTATCTATCTATCTATCTATCTATCTATCTATCTATCTCTCTCTCTCTCTCTATCTATCTATCTATCTATCTATCTAATCTAATCTAATCTAATCTAATCTAATCTAATCTAATCTAATCTAATCTAATCTAATCTAATCTAATCTAATCTAATCTAATCTAATCTAATCTAATCCTATCTATCTATCTATCTATCTATCTATCTATCTATCTATCTATCTATCTATCTATCTATCTATCTATCTATCTATCTATCTATCTATCTAATCCTATCTATCTATCTATCTATCTATCTATCTATCTATCTATCTATCTATCTATCTATCTATCTATCTATCTATCTATCTATCTATCTATCTTTCTCTCTATCTATCTATCTATCTATCTATCTATCTAATCTAATCTAATCTAATCTAATCTAATCTAATCTAATCTAATCTAATCTAATCTAATCTAATCTAATCTAATCTAATCTAATCTAATCTAATCTAATCTAATCTATCTATCTATCTATCTATCTATCTATCTATCTATCTATCTATCTATCTATCTATCTATCTATCTATCTAATCTATCTAATCTATCTAATCTATCTAATCTATCTAATCTATCTAATCTACACCACCAGGACAAAAGTTGTGCCTCTTGGGCCTTCTCAGAAAAAGCAACCCTTTCCCCCTAGAATCCTGCAAGTTGTTGCTGGGTCATTCGCGGTCGAATTGTCACACTCCAAAGCCTTTAAAGTATTTTAAATTTAAAAGAGGGTCATAATTGACCGTCCCACTCCTGCCACATGAAAAGGAGTTGGAAATTCGATCCGCGGGTGATCCACACGGCTTTGCAGAAACCATCAAGAGGCATAAACTTTTGTCCTTCTGATGTCCACCGCCACATGCTTGAAAGCATCCAGCTGGTCTTGTTAAACTGAAAACATGGCCTGTTCTACGCTCAAGTCCGTGCTAGGATAGGTCGGTCCGGTGTTACTTCTCGTGCTTCCTCATGGATTCACACCTCCAAGTATGCCAACGCGCTTTTGTCTCTGCCCTCTTGGCAGCAGCCGCCCTGCTCCAAGTGGCACCCGGCGTCAACCGAGACTCTGATCCACAAGCCCTACGCGAAGCCTGCAGTAAGGTCTTCCGCAAAGCTGCAAGATCCCGTGACGGTCAGGACCTTCAGCCGTTGCGCGCAGCAAAGGCCGAGTGGGAAAGCGCCTTGGGTCAAAGAGATGCTAGAGGCAGACCGTGCGCGAGTGAGGCTGGCTATCGGGCTGAAGCCACTGCAGTTCTGCTCACTTACCAATCTTTTGACGGCCTGGATCAGTGGCGCAGATTTGCCTGCTTTGTTCAGCAGAAAACTTCAACCTGGCAGGTGAAGTACTGGTGTGCGACATTGGAGAAATGCAAAACAGGGCGATTGCATGCGCATGTCATGCCTGTCTGCTTGCCTCTTCAAGTGTCTGATCCTCGCAACGGTTGCCAAGGGAAGGTCCAAACACATAGTTCTGCACATTGACAAAAATTGAGCATCACTCGTCTGCAGCCTGTCACCCAACACCCCTCCCGTGACGCTGTATCTAATCTATCTATCTACCTATCTAGCTATCTATCTATCTACCTACCTACCTATCTATCTATCTATCTATCTATCTATCTATCTATCTAATCTATCTAATCTATCTACTCTATCTAATCTATCTATCTAGCTATCTATCTAATTTATCTATCTATCTATCTACCTACCTACCTACCTACCTACCTATCTATCTATCTATCTATCTATCTATCTATCTATCTAATCTATCCAATCTATCTATCTATCTATCTATCTTTCTATCTATCTATCTATCTATCTATCTGTCTAATCTATCTATCTATCTATCTGTCTATCTATCTATCTATCTATCTATCTATCTATCTATCTATCTATCTATCTATCTATCTATCTATCTATCTAATCTATCTAATCTATCTAATCTATTTAATCCATCTAATCTATCTAATCTATCTAATCTTTCTATCTATCTATCTATATATCTAATCTGTCTAATCTGTCTAATCTATTTAATCCATCTAATCTATCTAGTCTATCTATCTATCTATCTATCTATCTATTTATCTATCTATCTAATCTATCTATCTCTCTATCTATCTATCTATCTACCAATCTATCAATCTATCAATCTATCAATCTATCAATCTATCAATCTATCAATCTACCAATCTATCAATCTATCAATCAATCAATCAATCAATCAATCTATCTATCTATCTATCTATCTATCTATCTATCTATCTATCTATCTATCTATCTATCTATCTAATCTATCTAATCTATTTAACCTATCTAATCTATCTAAGTTATCTAATCTATCTAATCTATCTAATCTATCTAATCTGTCTAATCTATCTAATCTATCTAATCTATCTAATCTATCTAATATCTATCTATCTATCTATCTATCCATATAACGTGTGCAGGAAGATGGTGGGGGGGGGGGTGACTTGGATGTTCAAGCTGCGTCAGGTCACACCCCATGCTCATGACTGGAGCAACCGCCGGGCCTAGTCTGCTTACCGTCGGTAGAACCAACCTTCCCGCGGCTTGAACACTTTTTTGGAGGCCTCCAAAAGGAATTTGCTTTGCACTTTGCCAACCTGGTTTTTTGACCCCCAAACATTCCAGTGGGGTGTCCAATGGAGGGTCGAGGGGTCTTCCAATTCCGCTCGAGCGAGAGAAAGACTTCCATTGAAAGCCCCAGGAGCTTCTGGATATCTTCGTTGCATGTTGCCAAGGGATGTTAGGACTTTAACTTTTTGCCAACTACTGTAATGGGTTTTCCGTATTAAATCAATAAAAGTTAGTCACTTTTAGCAGGGCTTCGCAGAAAGCAACCGAGTTGGGGTCGGCTAAATATGAAGCAGAGCCGCACGCGCTCATTTTCAGAACACCTTTCTTGAGGGCCAGGGGAGGGGTTTTCTTCCAATTGGCTGAGATGTTTAAACCATTGTTTAATAGCCTATTCTGGGCTGCCACTTTCCGATCACTTGGCCCTTACCGTCACTTGACCTCTCTTGGCATTTGGCTTCCCTACCGTGGATGGACGGAATCTGTTCGCACGACCTAGAAGCCGCGGTTGAAACCAGAACGTTTCTGAACAGTGGTTTCCTCCATTTCAGGGTTGTGGGATCAAGGGGTTTCTCTCCACTTCTGTGATACAAGGGAATCTCCCCCTTTATATGAAGAAAATCGTCTTTGGGGTTCTGCCCTTTCTTCCCTGGGCTCCAGTTTCCCTTTGTGGATCCTCCAAAAGTGGCCGCTTCTTTCGTTTCAATGGACCCTGAGGGCTTTGGATTTGGTTGGACATCCAGCGACGCCTCTTGTTTTTTGTTGGTCGCATTTTGTTTTCTGGTTTCTCGCAGAGGGTTGGATCCCCTCTTTGGCTGGTGTGTTTTGGCTCCAAAAACCAAAGATCCGGCCGTGGGAGAAGTTGGATCGGCCTTGAGGATGGCCAGAAGGTGGAAGCCAAGTTCGAGGACGGCGAGTACTACCCGGCCACGGTGAAGAAGAACGTGTCCCCGGGGAAGTACTTGGTAGAGCTGCTGGGTTGCGTCTTCAAATGCTGGGTGGGGTTTGAGCTTTTCTCTTTTTTGGAAGGAACCAAATTCTTGATGGCTTCGAGGAGCTTTTCTCAGTTTGGGAAGGTAATTGCCAAACTCTTGGCGTTTGTTTGTTTGTTTGTTTGTTCTATTTGTTTGTTTGTTTGTTTGTTTGTTTGTTTGTTTGTTTGCTGGGAGGGTCACTAATTCTTTCAAGGGTATCACATTCTTCTTAAGGCGGTTTAAACGTGGAAGAACATGAGAGCCGCGGCCAACACCGCGCCCCGGAAAGGCCATGTGAGTACTTCCAGTAGGTGGTTCCATTGACTGTTTGGGTATGTATCACCCTTAAACATCTAGGACCAAAGTTAAGTGTTTCTTCTTCTTCTTTTTTTTTAAAGGTTGGTGTCAAAAGTATTTTTGTTTTTCAAAGATATATCATTTTTTTAAGGTTGGTCTCCAAGGAATCAAAAGGAATCCTACAACTTTGGGGATCAAACCCCCGATTTAGATGAGCCATACCCAGGTTGAGCAGAAAAGGGGGCCTCAGGATGCCGCAAGTTGCCTCCAATGTTTGTCAGGGAACCCTCCAACCAGTTAACACGGAACCTGACACGGGGGTTCCCTTTAAAAGGAGCTTGGTCTTCCAGAACCCCCCCCTCCCTGCCCCCCTTTATTTGGAGGGTGAGTTGGACAAGTCGTTTTCCTGGCAAGCAGCTGGTACTCCTCTAGGTTTTTCAGCTAGGTGCCCTCCTTCTGACCTCTCTGGAGGACCTAGACCTGGGCCCCCTAGACCTGGGCCCAACCCCTCCCAAAAGCCGAGCCGAACCCATGTCCAACGGCGAAAGGTAGCCAAGGGCTGCCGCCTGGCGAGCTGGGGTCCAAAAGGGCAAAGCCTGGGAAACCCGAGAACCGCAAGACCTGAGACCCAGACCAAAAAGCTGGAAATCTACGCGCTCAATACTCAATGGTGTTCTCATACAACCAAAACAGCAAGAACAACAACAACAACAACAACAGCAGCAGCAGCAGCAGCAGCAACAACAACAGCAACAACAACAACAACAACAACAACAACAACAACAACAACAACAACAACAACAACAACAACAACAACAACAACAACAACAACACCAACACCAACAACAACAACAACAACAACAACAACAACAACAACAACAACAACAACAACAACAACAACAACAACAACAACAACAACAACAACAACAACAACAACAACAACAACAACAACAACAACAACAACAACAACAACAACAACAACAACAACAACAACAACAACAACAACAACAACAACAACAACAACAACAACAACAACAACAACAACAACAACAACAACAACAACAACAACAACAACAACAACAACAACAACAACAACAACAACAACAACAACAACAACAACAACAACAACAACAACAACAACAACAACAACAACAACAACAACAACAACAACAACAACAACAACAACAACAACAACAACAACAACAACAACAACAACAACAACAACAACAACAACAACAACAACAACAACAACAACAACAACAACAACAACAACAACAACAACAACAACAACAACAACAACAACAACAACAACAACAACAACAACAACAACAACAACAACAACAACAACAACAACAACAACAACAACAACAACAACAACAACAACAACAACAACAACAACAACAACAACAACAACAACAACAACAACAACAACAACAACAACAACAACAACAACAACAACAACAACAACAACAACAACAACAACAACAACAACAACAACAACAACAACAACAACAACAACAACAACAACAACAACAACAACAACAACAACAACAACAACAACAACAACAACAACAACAACAACAACAACAACAACAACAACAACAACAACAACAACAACAACAACAACAACAACAACAACAACAACAACAACAACAACAACAACAACAACAACAACAACAACAACAACAACAACAACAACAACAACAACAACAACAACAACAACAACAACAACAACAACAACAACAACAACAACAACAACAACAACAACAACAACAACAACAACAACAACAACAACAACAACAACAACAACAACAACAACAACAACAACAACAACAACAACAACAACAACAACAACAACAACAACAACAACAACAACAACAACAACAACAACAACAACAACAACAACAACAACAACAACAACAACAACAACAACAACAACAACAACAACAACAACAACAACAACAACAACAACAACAATGATTCCTTTAGAGCCTCCGGCTCAGTCCGCCGACATTGCACCCCTGCGTGTCCCGTTCACTTCCCCTGCGTTACGCCGCGAGGAACCGACCGGCTGATTTCGGGATCAGAAGCTGGGGTCGCGGTGGCTCGCCCCCGAGAAACCCGAAAATTGCAGCCTGCCTACTTGGAGCGGTGGGTCATTGGGTTTAAAAGTGTATACTTCCCTTTCACTATAACCTAGCAGTACAGTGAATTGGGTTTGCATAAGGCAAATCTACCTTGAATTCTGGCAGCGCCATGCTTTTTTTTCAGCGGCTTCCTTCGATGGGAAGGTTCGCCCCCGGAAAAACCGGACAATTCCAACCTACGCGGAGCGGCGGGGAAAACCCGCGGTCCGGCCGGCGGCTTCCTTCCGCTGGATCGGGGAGGTGGGAAGATCCCGACGGGAGCGACCCGGAGACCGAGCTGCTGGTGGACTTCATCCAGGTTCCCAGGCGAGTCCGCATGGAGTTGGTGAGGAACTCGGCCCCCCCGTTTGAAGCAGCCATGAACCGGGTACCCTCAAAAAACATCCGCCCGCGCAAAAGCAGGTGGTGCCCACTGGTCGATTTTTGGGGAGGAAACGGGCAAACAGTTTAGGCGTTGTTCTTCGGTTGAGACAGCAAAAGCACCTGGGAAAGCCTGGAGACGTGGAGAAAGATCAAGATATCCAACTGAGTGTTTAAAGTGGGCATGTCTGATTGATGGTACACGATCTTGGGGTACCTTTCGATGTTGACCTCCAGATCAAATCAAAACCCCTTCTAATAGGGCGTGGTTTTTGGCCCCTCCAAAAGTGGTCTGAATCCCCGCTAAACCAGGGACACCCCCGATCCCCTGTATTAATCCGGGGGTGCCTTTGCTTGACATATGGAACCCACGGCTTGTAACCAATAGCCCCGAAGCGCGTTTTCTTTTTTTGAAACCCAAAGGGCGACCATTTGGGCCGCTTTTTTTTCTTCTTCTTTTTTCGGCGGGGCGTTCCTTGGTTTAGGGCTAAGGCTTAGGCCATGAAACTTCACACCCATAGAGCCAAAAAGTCAAAACTCGGGGCGAGTTACGGGCGCTGAAGACCTGCGATTCGGCTTGCTTCCGGGTGCTAAGCAAGACTTGTGTGACTCCCTCATAGAACTTTCCCGCAACCCCCAACCCCCCCCCCCACCCCCTCAACCCCCAAATTTCTCAGCCACCTCCAAAAATGGGTCTATTAGTCTTAGTCTTTCTCAAGGGGGTGGGTTTTGGGCAGGGGGGGCGGTGTTTGGGGAGGTCTGCTGCAGCTTCCTGAAGTGTGAGTCCCCTTGATCCGGAACTGGGTTTAACACGAGATTCCGCCACGGATCTCTTGTTTTGGGGTTCCCTCCCTCCCAAAAGCAAATGAGACATGTGTCCATGTGACATCTCGTCGATGTTTGTCTTGGGCTCCTTCGCTGGATCTGTAGGGAAAAAAATACACGAGCATGCAGGTTCCTTGCTGCCTGTTTCGGAGACCTTCGAATACTCCGCTAGAAAAGCAACCGAGAAGAAGCATATTTCTGCCCGTCTTTTTTCGGGGTTCCTTCCGTGAATCTGCAGGAAAAAGCGCATAATGTTGACCCAGGATGAATAACCCCGTCCCATTATTAGGGGGGGTGTTCCCTCCAAAAGTGATGAATCCCCACTAAAAGGGGACACCCCCCCATTAATCAGCGCAACGAGCTCCTTCCGAGGGTTTTGGACTGTTTGCTGCTACCTCTGATGGAACTCTACAGATTCTGGAAGACTCATTTGACATGAACAAGATCGACCAACAAACACTTTGTTTCCTCACTTCTCCCCTCTGCTGAATTGCCGAGCACACATTGCTGACACAAAGCCAGTCAACACCCACACACACACAAACACACATACATCTATTTCCCTTTTTCCCCCCACACACACACACACACACACATAAACAAAACCAGTTAAAAACATGGTCTTTGCTCCTCGTTTCCACAAGGCACCAGTAAAACATGGATCTTTCTCCTCATTTTCCCATACCAGTCAACCACCAAGGTCTTTTCTCTGATTTCCCCCCCCCCAAAAAAATATTCATCTCCGCCTGGCTTCCTGAATGCGGCTTTTTCCTTCCTTCCGCTCGCTCGCGCGCTCGGGTTTTCCGCGCGCAGGGTGGGCATCGACACCTTGAAGCTGGGGCAAAAGATGGCGGGCACCGTGAAGCGCGTGCTGAACTTCGGGGCCTTCGTGGACGTGGGCCCCTTGGGCCGACGGAGATATGGCTCAAAAACATGGTTCCCACAAAATGGCACCAGAAGGCAAATGCCACTAAAGACTAACACCAGCGTAACAAACGGCTCTTCAATGTTGAGCCACACCCAAGTATTTGACTTCCATTTGCTCAAGACGATTTTGATTCTACCTTGTTGGTTTTAAAGGGACTTTATCACTACTGGATATGTTTTTGTTTCCAGGGGGCTTAAGTAAGCGGGTATGGGTCAAAATCTAACAACCATGATATGGACCACAGGTTTTCTATTTGCCAGGGTTCCATGTTGGGAACCAATCTTTTATTCGCCCACAGCCATATTTGCCAATTTTTCGCGAGCTCACCTGTAGGTAGAGCGAGGTCATGATGATAAAGGTCGTTTGCTCGATCCAATGCTGAATCCAGGTGCTGGAATGAGAGCAACATTTGGGATGACTATTGGGGGAGCCCACCAAAAAATAATGTTTCAACCAAATGGGCAAAGTTACCCCATCAAGCTCCATGTATTTTGTGTCTGGTTCAACAACTTCCCAAAACTCACTCTGTTTCCAAAGAGTCGGGAAACCAGGTCCAAAAGTGGGGTCCAAATCAAACGGAGGGTGCCTGTGGAGCATAAAACACCGTCACTCCATTGCCAATGATTGACATGGTCGTTTTGGGGCTTTGGAGATATTGATTACTTTACATTCCGAGTTGGACTTGAGCCAGGAATTTGGGGGCGGCCATGTTAGTAGCAAAAATCAGACGTTTTTTTTTTGGTTGTTTTTTTTTTGGGGGAAATCGACTCGGGTAGTGTGAAGGGGCTGAAGAATTCCGAACTAAAACATTCAACCCTGTTTAGAAGACCATTTTAGAGGGTGTTTGAATCAATCCCATCCATGGCTTTCGTGGTCGTTGCAATACAAGAAGCTGGCAGATGACTCATATTATTTTCCTTTGGTCATGACTTCATTTAGCTTGATGGTACTCCCAACCCCCAATACTGCCTGCGGCTGCCGGGCCTGCAACGTGGTCATTTTCAGGTTAGATTTCCTGCCGGAAAAACAAAGAAGTGAAGGGATTCCAAGACATATCGAAAAGCGACTGAGTCCACAGAGGAGCCTAGACGAAGCCTCTGCTGGGAAAGTAAAGTTCGCGTTGCTGAACATGATTGTGAATTTGCAAACAGGGTTCCTAGGTATGTATCAAAATAGAGGGATTCGAAGAATGCGGTGTATTCCTAATAGTCACAGTCTAAACCAAGCTGACAATAGTTTACAATGTTGACCACAGGACCATTTGAAGCTCATGCTTGGAATGCTGGGAATGCCTGGCGCTGCTGCCGGGGTTTGGGGATGCTGGGTTGGGTGACTTTCCAGGCATGTAAGGAATGGGCAGGGGTACTTGACTCTTTGGGGCTGGGTAGTGATGATGCGCTTTTGATGCCTGTGGATGCTGGACTTGGTTGTGATGTTGGGTTGATGCTCTGGACAATGTGTGTGTGTGTGTGTGCTGTTGATGCAGGAGTTGTTGTGATGCTGGGGATGGTAATGCTGGTGATGCTGGTGATTTTGATGATGCTGGTGATGCTGGTAATGTTTCTGGCTGGTGATGCATTCCAGAGATGATGCAATGGATCGGGGAAGCAAGTGATGCAAGCGATGCAAGTGATGCAAGTGATGCAAGTGATGCAAGTGATGCAAGTGATGCAAGTGATGCAAGTGATGCAAGTGATGCAAGTGATGCGAGTGATGCGAGTGATGCGAGTGATGCGAGTGATGCGAGTGATGCTTGTGATGCTTGTGATGTGTTGGGTGTGAATGGTGGGTGATGCTGGGGAACGTGTGTAGTGCGAAATGGTACGCCTGAGTTTTTGTAGATTCCAGAGAGTTTCTCTGGACTATTCCTGGGAAGCAGCGACAGTTTCCGAGGCAGCTTTCGAAATGGCCTTTGGTCCAAACCAGATTCAGAACATCTCGGGGCAGGATGTTCTGACGGCGGACATATTAAGCCCGTGTCAAACTCTCCAGCTTTCATGTCTGGCGACTTCATTGGAGTTGAGCTGGGGTTTCGTGACCGTCAGGAGATGCATTGTTGATCAACTGCAAATCTGATCCAGAACGGGAGGGCTTGCACATGCTCCTGCTGTGAGTGTCCAATTGACATCTTGGGGTACTTCCGGTACATCGGAAGAGGCAGCAGTAACATTTCTAGATCATGTGCAGCTTTTGGGCATGGCCACTGAAGCTTTTGGGCATGGCAAGTGGCTTGCACTTTGCCTTTGGTTCTGTCACTGGCAACCTCGCAGTTCCGTTTATCTGGCTGGCACAATCCGAAATATTGGAGGGTTTCCCTGGCGATGGCTAAAAAAATGGGTCTGTTTCCTTAAGGTCTTGGTCTAAAGGGAAACCAACAGTACACCGCACCCATTTCGGTGTGGGTATCAATTCTTATTTTGAGACGCACCGATTGACATGTCCCTGGAAGGGAGCTGTTGCGCAAACGAAACTTGCCGAGGGCAGCCTTCGATGCCAGGAGTCGTGCTTGGAAAGTGGCAATTGACGTTTCCTTCAAATCCAGCTCGAGCTCTCTGGCTTGTTTTTCAACGGGTTGTAGGGCTGGGCATGATGCTGGTGATTGGTGATGCCAATGCTGCTGAGCTCTCAATCTGCATGCAACCAACTGCAAACGAGTAGACTTAGCTCCACAGAAAGCTTCAAGCAAAAGAGAGCTTGGCGTCAACTCTGTGCGGAAATCTAAGGGCTTCTGTTTTTGTTTTTGTGTCTGCCCTCTCTTGCTTGTTTTTCAACGGGATAGATAGGGCTGCTTGCTGCTGAATGCTGGTGATGCCAGTGATGCTGGTAATGCCAGTGATGCTGGTAACGCGAGTGATGCTGCTGCTGCACAGGATGCAGGGGATGCAAGAATGATGCTAGATATGCTAGAGATGCTTGCTTTGTGCTGGGAAGCCTGTAGATGTGGTTGCATGACTTGTTTTGGGAAGCCACTCAGATTTGCGGGTGTTCAACGATTGGTTGGGAAGCAATATGGCTGTGGGTCAAAACCAATGGTACCATTTTGGGGTAGGTGCACCACCCATTTTAGTGTATTTTAGTGGGGATTGGGATGTTCACCGGGGGTGCAGGATTTCGACCCATGGCCATATGAGGCTCTGAAGAATTGGAATGCGCATGTGGGTACAAATTAGGTCATCATCGGAGAAGATTGGTTTCAGATTGGCTGACCCACTCCGTCGAGGTCTCAACCCAACACAACTCTGCTTCCCCTTTGGTGGGTTTGGGTTGCTTGGTGGCCCCCAGCCGTCCCCTTAGCTTTTTAGGCTTTTAGGGTTTAGTGGTAGTTTCCATTTAACCCACCAAAAGTTAAACTTTTAGGGCAGCCCACATTGGTTTGGAATTTTTCCTTTTAAAAACCAAATGGGGAAGGTAGCTGGTTCCCAACGTCCAAACCACCTGGTTCCAAATCACCAATTGGGGCTAAGGTGAGTCGGGTATTTGGATTGGTGGCTTGGATTCGGATTTGAAGTCTTTCTGAGGGTACATGGGCAATCCCTCCAATTAAACCAATCCAAACCACCAAACTTGGTCGCTCCCAGCCATCCTTTTAGCTTTTTAGTGTTTAGTGGGTTTTCCATTTAGCCCACTAAAAGTGAAACTTTTAGCTGGGGATTTGAGGACAGCTCAGCAATTAATGGGAGAGCTGAAGACCAGTAGAGTGCCCGAGGCTGTTACACCGATGGCTTGGTGCATGTCTCGAAGATGGCCAACGAGCGAGTAGATAACCCGGAGGACGACTTGTTTTCGGTGGCCCGTCACCTCGGGGCCTAGGGTCTCTTCCAAAAGTATGTTCAGTTTTAAGGGTTGACGAAAAATACCCGCCCTTGTTTTTTTTTGCCCGATTTCCTTATTTGGTCCATTTTTAGTCATGACAGCCAAATTTTTATGGGTCCAAGCTGGGCAACTGAGAATATAGACTCTGAACATAGTTGTTCTCCTGTACCCTTAAATTTGGGTCCCTTTCAAGGGCCAACTTTGGCCGTGCATTGCTTGGGACGAAATGGCTGGAGCACCAATCGTCAGTGGATTCCAGCCTCAAAACCGTTTGTTGTTCGGTGTGTTTCCCACTGACAATTGCCAACAAACGGTGTTGTCTTTTGCTGGGGTTACCGGACAGCACCTCTGTCTCGCTTTTGGACTGTCCAACAAAGTACAGCTTGCAGCCATTGCGGCTATCCCCTGGGTACATGACAGCTCTTGAAGGGAGTGAATGAACAAACACTCATAGTGTTTCTCAAAGTAACAGGCTCCTGCTTGGATGGTTTTGAAGGGATGCCAAGAGGAACCTGGAGAGGCCCCGAATGTTCATCGTTGTGAGGCTTCCCCAAGATTTTGGGAGTCAAAACGAGTCGACTCGAGAGAATCTTGGGATTCACATCCGGTATCCAGTGGTGCCCTTTTCCTTTTTTTTGGGTTTGCCGTTACCCCAAAAAACGAGTGCCGAGTCTTTTTCCAGTGAGCCACTGGGGTTTCGTCGCGGATGCCCGTCCTATGCAAAACCAGCGTGGTTTGACACGACTGGGTTTCCCACACCTGTGTCTTGCTTCGGAGGGGGAAAAGGCCGAAGGTCGATACAAATCAGTGAGGCCCCGCCTCCAGCAGCCGCACATGCGGCAAAGGCCCCTTATTGAAGAAAAGGAATCCCCAATGGAAAGGCAGACCCCGCTTAAGAACTGGGGGCCTCTTCTTGACCTCCATTTCACCTTTTGGTGTGCCGGCCCAGCACGCAAGCTGGGGGTCGGAAAAAGAGGGCCCCTTTCCAACCATGCATGGTGGCATCCTTTCTCAGCACCCATGTTTGCAGGTTTTTCTGGTGCCCGAAAAGGAGCACATTTTGGCAGGTCCTCAAAATTACTGTTGGGTTGCAGTTTTCGGTTGAACCATTTAAAGGGTTATTTAGTGTGTGTCGCTTGAAAGGACCCAGTATTGAGGGGTAGGTGTCTTTGTAAAGATGCATTTCTTCCACGGGGCCCTCGCTGATTAATACCACGAAATTGAATCAGGGGTCAACATTTTCAGGGGTGCGTCGGTGTCGCGACTAACACGAATATGACAGTGGTGTTCCAGTTTCCCCGCTAGAAAGGTCCGTGCCATGAGCTTTGAATGTCCACACATGCACAGCTATTGGCAAAAAATAATGGCTGGCCTTTTCCGGAAAGCGATCAACATCCCTCAAGCAGAACTCCTTCCCCTCTCAAGCCATGAGGTTTGAACTGATAGAAGAGGCTGACCAATCCAGCACTTCCAGCTAACTTTCCGTGCGCTAGAAACTGCAGGTTTGATGTTGACTTCGGATTGATCCGTATTCAGAGGAATCCCCCCTAAAATGAGTCACAACCCCCCCCCCCCCACCCCGTCCCCACCTGAACTTTGAAAGGGTCCAGGAAAAACATGAGTATCCAACATGGCGCTTGCCGCCCAGTGGACGTGTCTCTGGCAGCCCGGCCATTTCCACTGGAGCTTTCTGTGTACCATCAGTTGACCAAAAAGGCGGTTTGTGTGTTCTTTGCCTTTGTGTTTTTCCCTAGCTATTTCACTTCAAGAATCCACCCGCAAAAACAATTCCGAGGCCCCCTTCCGCCCAAATCATTCAATAGGTTTGCAAAACGCCTGTCCTGCCAGGACTATGTGTCGGAAGACGACGAGATTACCGTTTGGGCCACTTGAAAATTGGCTCGGGCGGGCGGGCTCTTTGAGCGCGCACCGCCCAGAGGATCAGATCAGGATCATTGTGAGCGCGCCATTTATCCCCAGATAGCTGAAAGCTATAGGGGTTCTAACTTCTAATAAAGAAGGGAAAGTGATTTGCGAGATTGACGGGCTGGTGCTCGGGGGCGTTCGTTTGGAGTGCTGGTGTAGGTGCTGATTGGGATGCTGTTTGAGGTGCTGATGGCAGTTCGTGCGCATCTTTTCAAGATTGACGGTAGGGTGCTAGGGGGGGCATGCAGTTTGGGGTGCTTGGGCAGGTGCTGTTTTTGGGGGGTGACGGTGCGCACGCATTTTTGCATCTTGATGGTAGGACGCAGGGGGGAAGGCAGTGCTGCTGATGGTGCTGTGGGACGCAGCTTGTGGGGAGCTGTTTGAGGTGCTGATGACGGCGCGGGCGCATTTTTGCGATATTGACGCTCACGTGCTATCGGGCATGCAGGTGACGGTGCAGGCGCATGTTTGCATCTTGACGGTAGGGTGCAAGGGGGCATGCAGCTTAGGTGGTGGTTTGGGATTCTGTTTGGGGTGCTGGTTGGTTTTCGCATGATTGACGGTTGGGTGTCTTGGGGGGTGCTGTTTGGGGTGCTCTTCAGGAAGATTCTGCGGGCGCATTTGTGCTCGATTGACGGCCGGGTTTTGCCTGGGGCGTTGTTCGGGGGGGGGTGCTTATGGAGGTGCTGACGTGTAAGTGCTGCTATCTGGGGTGTATGCTGGTGTGTGTAATCTTTAGGGGATCAGATCAAAAGTGGTTCCGCTGGGGGTTTTCCTAAGAAATGGCGGTCCTCTAAATGTCATCTTTCATCAGATCACTAAAATGGTGGTTTTCTTCTGGGTTTCCGTTTAGCACAGCAAGAAAAGTACCAACTCCAGAAAAAGAACACACTCCTAGATTCGTGTTTTTGCCCGGGAGATAGATGGGATATTGGGTCCCATTTTCCCTGTCTCCAAATGAACAACAGACTACCACAAATTTTGTCCGTTCCCATCAACACCCCCAAACAAGGGCACTGAGCCTCTGAAAAAATGGCCCGTCCTCTCCAGATGAATCAGAGACCACGAAAAATTGGGCGCGAAAAAACGGAGCCAATCTGAGGTCAGTAGCATCGATCCCGAGAATCAGCGGTTGGGCCTCACAATGATAGCACCTCGGCTTGTCGCTTCTTGTGGGGTCGCGGTAAGTGGCTCTTGCTGTGAGGCTCAGTACCCATTTTGGTGTGGTGTAAACGAACTGGGGATGGCTAGCTGTCAAATCCGGGTTGTTCGCCGGTCCCAGTGATTTCATGTATATGCATGGTGAGAGCTCTGGGCATGGCCAGAAAGGCTTTAGATTCTTCCACTTTGGTCTTTGCAGCATATGGCTGTGGTCGTCAAAACCAATGGTACCATTTTGGTAGGTGAATTCACCACCCATTTTAGAACCTATTTTAGTTTGGATTGAATCGGATGTTTACTGACACCTAACCGCTTTGGCTTTTGACCCATGGCCATATCCCCAAGGTTTTACTGTGGATGGACGAAATCCTGCACCAATCATATCATTCTAGGGTTTCTCAGGTGGTGCAGGATTTCGTCCATCCACAGGGAACAACCAGCCGCTGGCAGCCTGGCTGGGGCTCGGCCCGTTGGGCCGGGCGCCGGGCGGCGATTTTGGCTTGCTTCCGGGCGGGGGTTCGACCAGTGATACTGTGGATGGGTCCTCAAAATCCGAGAAGCTCGCAGCACCTCTCAGAAGCCCTGGAAGGGTCTGCTTCCCCAACGTAAATACCAGGCAACCATGGTTTCTACCATGGTTTCAAAGTGGTGCAGGATTTTGTCCATCCACAGTAGGGGCTAGAGCTAGATGAGTTGCTCGTTCCCCAAGAGGAGGACAAATCTCGATGGATGGAGCAACAAATACATCGAATCAAGAACCGCTATTGGCCAATTTGTGAAGGGGCTTTACCTGGAATTACCTTTCAGAGGCGCACCCAGGACGATGCATCATGTGTTGCGGAGCGATGCTTTTTGAGTGTGGTCCCGCCCTTTTTACCCCTTTTACCCCTTGTCCCTTTTTTGACCCGCTCTTTGCCCCTGATCTACCGATGTATCTTGTCCGTGGTTCATGTGAGCCGCGGTCAATGTTTGCTGTCATCTACTATTAGGATTACATGTGGCACACTCACCAAATGCCATTCCCACCAAACACATTGACTGTGGCCCATGTGCTGCTTCCAGGAGGGCAAGGTTGGCGGCGGCGGCGGCGGCGGCCGACGGAACAGGGAGGTCACCCATCCTGTAGCAGACATGGAGGCCGTCTGCCGTATGTTTCTTTAGAGCCCGCAGTTTGGTTGCAATATCCGGCACAGGCGGGTTATTGATGGGAGACAAAGGTACTCACTTCCCGACTTGCTGGACATGAGTTACTTTTTGGAAGATCATGTTAGCGGTAAATGGCACTGTGATCACTTTTTTTTCAGCCCATCCACTCAAGAAGTGAGGGTAAGCCGCCCATAGCCTGTGGGGTCGAAAGACGAAAGAAATCTGTGACTTGGCGCGGATGGTGCTAAACCCTGCGAAGTGTTTTTCCCTTGGCCAACCACTTCAAGATCTTCAGACTACTCCCCGCTTTGCGGGACCTAAACTCTTTTGCTTTACGAGCAGACACCCTGAAATGCAGGGATTTTAGTCTTGTTGGGAGGTTGCAACCCATTTGCCTGTGGTTAGCGTGTGGTTAGCGTCCCCTGGGATTTTAGACCAGGATTCAGACTCCCCAAACTATGGCCACGGCCCCCGCTTGGTTGGTACCCTCTGTCTAACAGCCATGGAAGTGTACCAAGGCCTCACACCCGATCGTCAGCTTCCATGATTCGAGGGGACACTTCCAATTCTTTCTAGGGATCCTTCTTTCTAGAAAACCTCCAGAATCCCAGGGAAAGCGGCGGGTTTTTGAAAAGAACGTTGGTTGAAAAGAATGGGGACTCGACCCCTAGAATGATTGGAGGGTGGTTGGACACCAAAAGGCAGCCGTTGTCGTTGGGGAGCCAAATCCTTTTCGAGAAGCCGCCTGGCCGATTCCTTGAAGGGTACGCCTCTTTTGGTTGGTCAAGGGACGCCAAAAGGAAACCAAAACCATTTTGGGGGTCTGCTTTGAGACAAGCACGCCTATCAGCCTATAGTATTGGACATCACCTTGCACCCTGGAACAGGATCTTTTTCAAATTGCGCCATTAGACTGACATGGGGGGTGATCAACAATTCCATTACATGGGATGACCATCAGGGAAACCACAACAAGAGGCCACTTTCACCACATGGACAAGTTACCCATGGCCATTTTGGGGCCCTAAATCGGGGAATATTGATCAACCCCCACTTTTGTCGAGCCCTTATCGTACCCTCGTATTCTCCAAGTAGGTGGCAAACGCCACCTGGGTTGCAACCCACAGTCATGACTGTGGGTTATAACCCAGGTGGCTATCCACTTACTATCTTGGCGAATCGAACACCCAATCAAACACTCGCACAGTGCCCCTGCCTTACACCTGAACGTCATGCAGGTGGGAGACGAACTGGATGGAGTGGTCGAGTCCATCCGGCGACGCGGCGGTTTTTTTAGGGTAGCGCGGTGTCAAAGAGGGTCCGGCAGTCAAAAGTTACCCAAGTAACGGCTGATCTAGGGGTCTAACTCCAAATACCAGCTGGTTGCAGGAAAGGATACCAGATTGGGGCCAGTCCAGAAACACCAGCTGATCTAGGGGTCAAAAATGGTCAACCAATTGAAAGGATCGCTCTAACTGAAATGTTGGTCCCGCTATTCATTGGGGGGTTTGATTGGACAATATTGCTTCCACTCTTTAGGACGCGTCCCTTACCATTTTCCTTTGAAATGGAGCCCCGAACGGCAGGTTCCATATGAATTGGTGGGAGGATTTATCCTTCAAGCCCCGCAAAAGTGATTTTCGGTTCTGCATGCTCTAAAGGACCTCCCCCCAACAATTAACCAACCTAGGATATATGAACTAGGCTCCCACTTGTTTTCTTCTTTATGTAGAAGTAGTGGGTAATTCCAACTTGTAGCTCCCGCTGTTTTCCGGGGCTTACTTGTAGCTCAACTCGTAGTAATCAATGGGCCTAAAAGAAGACACCTCCCCCAGCTGTTTTTCGGGGCGCCGCAGGCCTTGAAGCTCCTGAAAACAATTTGCCCACCGATCGGTTGGCTTCCCGAGGGTCGTGTTTTAGACACACGGTGGACCTAGGACACAGATCTCGTGAAACACAGATACATTCCAACCACGAAATGGTTGGGTGTTTCTTGCGAGTCGTTGTTAGAAGACACAGGACACGAAGTTGCCTGTGGACGAAGGAACATTCGAGTTGGCCCTGGTTGTTGTGGAATCTAGATCTCCGGGGCTTCTTTGTTTCGAACTTCCAACATGCCAAATTTGTGTTTTTGCTTGCTTGCTTGTTGGTTTGTTTCTGTATGTGAGTGTGTTTGTGTGCATTTTTGAGGATACCCTTTTCAAGGTGGTCTTAAATGGACACCAACAGAAACGCCGCTGGGGTGATGCTCTTGGTCGTGGTTTTTGTCCCGAGGCTGCCGTGGAACCAAAATCACAAGGGCCTTTTGCAGATCTGGGAAGTCTCTGGTGGTTTGGCTGAAACCCATTCGAAACTAACTGGGAAGCCAACCCAAGCCCCAAACCAATCCATAGCATCAAGAGGTAGAAAAACACATGTCATGGATCAAGGTTGGACAAGCCCATTGGTGGCCTTTTACTTAGTTTGGTTAGACATAGATGGGTTTCACTGGTTGTGACGGGTTTTCTGAGGGAGAGTGTGTAATCATGGGGGTTGGGGGGGAGGGAGGGGAGTGGGAGGGAGCCCAAATAAGCCCTTATTAAGCCCTAATAAGGCCTTATTTGGGGCTTATTGGGGCTCCCTTTTCCGCCCCCCCCACTCCCCCCCAGCCCCCATAATTTAAGCAATGAGTGGATGTCAAACCACCGGGGTTACCTTTTTGGTATCCCCTTTTTCCATGGTGGCACAAGGTGGCACCAGGGTCCAAAGAAAAATCGGCAATATTTTTCACCCTCCTTATGCCCTTGAACCGGGGGGTAGAATTGTTTGGCCCGTTGTTGGGAACAGGGCTCCGTTTTTTCGATTCTCCCAAACGTAGGCTTAACCCCATGATGTCCCAAGGGACACCCCTGGTTTTAAGTCAACCATTAATGGTGGTTTGAACCCCAGGGAATAAGCCCAAAATGGAACCGTGGTGAAATATGACCCCTCAAAATACCCAATATGAACCATCCGATGGGACCTTTTTTGGAAACTGGACTCAAGGGAATACCTTCATTGAAGCACGAGGGTCGATCCGCGAAAATCATTGGCACTTTCCCCGAAAGGGAAGCCGGGTTTAAGTCAACCTGCGGGAATACCTGCCTAGATCGCCAGTTGCTGTTTTTTTCCATGCGCTTTACCCCAAAAACCGATCGCACCAGTGACTGGAAAAAAAGCGATCGCAACTTGGCTATCTAGGTGGTTTTTTTTGTTCTTTCGGTTTCGACTTTTCAAAACCAAGCCCGAAAGAATACGAGCCATATACCCTTGGGAATCCTTGGGAACCCTTGGGAACCCTTGGGAACCCTTGGGACTACGTGGGTAGTTGAAACAACGAGGGCCCCGACCGATTCGTGGATTCACGTCACAGGGACTTCGGCGCCTTCGTGGACGTCGGCTCGGAGAGGTCCGGGCTGGTACACATCTCCAGGCTCTCGGAAGGTTATGCCACGCGGCTGGTTAGTCGAAAGGGGTTCGGGTTTTCTGGTCTCTCAGGGTGGACGTACATACCCCTTGTTCATACCCCTTGGCTTCCATGGTTTCCAACCCACTTTATAAGGGGTATATATCCCTTGTTCCCTTGTTCCTTAGGGAAAGTAATGTTACCTCGGATTAATAAACCCCTGGTTGATTAATTAATAGGGGGGTCTCCAATTCCTTTTAGTGGTTGGATTCAGACCACTTTTGGAGGGAACACCCCGCAAATACTGGCACGGGGTTATTAATCCTGGGTCAACATTGGTCGAAAGAAGGGCTTCGGGTTTTGGTTTCCTTGTCTAGGTCCCGCAGCTAGGTGCCTTTGACCGTTTCTTTTTTGGGGGAGTGTTCCCCTACTAAACTAAGACTACAGAAAAAGGGTACCGTTATTCTAACCTCCCTACTGGAGAACCTAACAAACCCCTGGTTGATTAATTAATAGGGGGGTGTCCCCTTTTAGTGGGGGGACGGGTTTATTAATCCTGGGTCAACATTGGTCGAAAGAAGGGGTTCGGGTTCTGGTTCCCTTTTCTTTTTTGGGGGAGGGTTCCCCTACTAAAGTGGACTACATAAAAAAGTTGGTACCCTGAGTCCAACCTCTCTGCTAGAGGACCTAGTGGTCCTTAGGGATTGTATGGGGTTAACTGGGTGCGTCTTTTATTTTAGATGTTGAACACGCGGAGAAAGGGAAGCTGCTGGTCTGGACATCTTGGGAGTCTCTTCTGGGAGTGTATGGGTCTGACACTTTGTTTGGACATCGGGCCCCCGCCAAATTGGTGGTTTTCCTTGAAGCCGTCCTTTAAAACGACAAAAAGAGGGCTACCCGCAAAAAGACACGCCCATCTCCGTGAGGGTTGTGCGAGTTTGGAAATTCAACTGGTCGTTTTGGGAAGACATCTCCGTTGTGGGAGTTTCAAGGGAAGTTGCACCCATCTAACTGTTGGATCGGTTTTGACTCTGACTTACCTAGGTTTCCCAGCTAGGTGCCCTTTGTAACCACTACTTTGGGGGAGGTCCCCTACTAAAATTGACACAGCAAAAAGGGTACCCTCATTCTAACCTCGCTACTGGAGGACCTAGTTACTTGAGGTTTTGATCCCTTGGATTTTGGGGGAGTTTCACGTGATTGGGAACTGAACTATCCAACTGGTTTCGAGGGAATGATTCCTAAGTTGATTCCCAAACTCCCAGATTCTCTTTTCAACAGGGATTTTGAAGGGTTTTGGCGATATATATATATATATATAATATAAGATATATATATATATAAGTTTTTCAAGGGTTCAGGGTTTGTTGGAGTTTCAAAGATTTGCAGGATTTGCTTAAAAGGAAGTCAGGGTTTTCGGCATATTGTCCTTTTGGGGGGGTGTCCACGGCCTTGACCAGCGGTTTTGGGAACGAGCCGTGAAGGATCCCCCAAGCCACGAGGACCGGCGGAGAACCAATAAGGAAGCAACGTGCTCAAAGGCTCAATGTTCAAACAAAGTGGCCCAACCCCAAGGAACGAGCCACTCCGAACCACTTTGGCGTTGGGCCGAAAGACCAGGTTGATTTGCCACCGAGGTTGACGATGTACATGACTATGTGGAGGAGGGACAGGAGGCGCGGCATCCATTGCTTCTTGCTCGATGGGTGTTGTACTGTGGATGGTTGCGAAATCCTGCACCTTGAAACCATGGTAAAACCATTGTTTGTTGGTACTTATAAGGGAATCATCATTCCAGGGTTTCTGAGGTGGTGCAGGATTTCGCCCATCCAAAGTATGTCCCTTAAGCCCTTGGCAGTTTTTTTTTAAGGGAACCTTGTTCTCGCGTGGCGGGTTCATGTAATGCTCACTTGCCCAAGGCGAATTGACCTTTTGCCCTTTTGTTACCCCTTGCTCCATATTTAGTCATGGCCCCAAAAGGTGATCAGCTGTTATTTCCAGGTCCGAACCGGACAGCTGAGCTTTTGGCGGGCTTCTTCTCTTGAAATGGAAACGGTTTCCCCGAATACATCTGACAGGTTGATGAATCTGGGGTCAGTATTCCCCCTAGACACAGTACCCACTTTTTTCAGGGTATGATGTCAACCCTGTACTTTGAGTAAGGTATTTGCCTCGGAAAACCAGGTTGTACAGCAACTAAACAAGTTGGCGTAGGGGCCTGTCTAGACTTAGGATACATTTTACAGTACCAGTGGCTGAAAAAGTGAAGCAAACAATAAAATATACATTCTATAACTGGGCCTAAGTCTAATCGTGG